ATACTGTACTGTGTGATACTGTGTATCTAAATACTAACTATACTGTATACTGTGTGACACTGTTTATCTAAATACTAACTATACTGTATACTGTGTGACACTGTGTATCTAAATACTAACTATACTGTGTACTGTGTGACACTGTGTATCTAAATACTAACTATACTGTACTGTGTGATACTGTGTATCTAAGTACTAACTATACTGTACTGTGTGACACTGTGTATCTAAATACTAACTATACTGTACTGTGTGACATTGTGCATCTAAATACTAACTATACTGTACTGTGTGACACTGTGTATCTAATTACTAACTATACTGTACTGTGTGACACTGTGTATCTAAATACTAACTATACTGTATACTGTGTGACACTGTGTATCTAATTACTAACTATACTGTGTGACACTGTGTATCTAAATACTGACTATACTGTACTGTGTGACATTGTGCATCTAAATACTAACTATACTGTACTGTGTGATACTGTGTATCTAATTACTAACTATACTGTACTGTGTGACACTGTGTATCTAAATACTAACTATACTGTACTGTGTGATACTGTGTGACACTGTGTATCTAAATACTAACTATACTATACCGTGTGACACTGTGTATCTAAATACTAACTATACTGTATACTGTGTGATACTGTGTATTTAAATACTAATTATACTGTATACTGTGTGACACTGTGTATCTAAGTACTAACTATACTGTACTGTGTGACACTGTGTATCTAAGTACTAACTATACTGTACTGTGTGACACTGTGTATCTAAATACTGACTATACTGTGTGACACTGTGTATCTAAGTACTAACTATACTGTACTGTGTGACACTGTGTATCTAAATACTGACTATACTGTGTGACACTGTGTGACACTGTGTATCTAAATACTAACTATACTGTACTGTGTGATACTTTGTATCTAAATACTAACTATACTGTACTGTGTGATACTGTGTATCTAAATACTGACTATACTGTACTGTGTGTCACTGTGTATCTAAATACTGACTATACTGTGTGACACTGTGTGACATTGTGTATCTAAATACTAACTATACTGTACTGTGTGATACTGTGTATCTAAATACTAACTATACTGTGTACTGTGTGACACTGTGTATCTAAATACTAACTATACTGTACTGTGTGACACTGTGTAACTAATTACTAACTATACTGTATACTGTGTGACACTGTGTATCTAAACACTAACTATACTGTATACTGTGTGACACTGTTTATCTAAATACTAACTATACTGTGTGACACTGTGTATCTAAATACTGACTATACTGTGTGACACTGTGTGACACCGTGTATCTAAATACTAACCATACTGTACTGTGTGATACCGTGCAACCTACTAACTATACTGTACTGTGTGATACTTTGTATCTAAATACTAACTATACTGTACTGTGTGATACTGTGTATCTAAATACTGACTATACTGTACTGTGTGTCACTGTGTATCTAAATACTGACTATACTGTGTGACACTGTGTGACATTGTGTATCTAAATACTAACTATACTGTACTGTGTGATACTGTGTATCTAAATACTAACTATACTGTGTACTGTGTGACACTGTGTATCTAAATACTAACTATACTGTACTGTGTGACACTGTGTAACTAATTACTAACTATACTGTATACTGTGTGACACTGTGTATCTAAACACTAACTATACTGTATACTGTGTGACACTGTTTATCTAAATACTAACTATACTGTGTGACACTGTGTATCTAAATACTGACTATACTGTGTGACACTGTGTGACACTGTGTATCTAAATACTAACTATACTGTACTGTGTGATACTGTGTATCTAAGTACTAACTATACTGTACTGTGTGACACTGTGTATCTAAATACTAACTATACTGTACTGTGTGACATTGTGCATCTAAATACTAACTATACTGTACTGTGTGACACTGTGTATCTAATTACTAACTATACTGTACTGTGTGACACTGTGTATCTAAATACTAACTATACTGTATACTGTGTGACACTGTGTATCTAATTACTAACTATACTGTGTGACACTGTGTATCTAAATACTGACTATACTGTACTGTGTGACATTGTGCATCTAAATACTAACTATACTGTACTGTGTGATACTGTGTATCTAATTACTAACTATACTGTACTGTGTGACACTGTGTATCTAAATACTAACTATACTGTACTGTGTGATACTGTGTGACACTGTGTATCTAAATACTAACTATACTATACCGTGTGACACTGTGTATCTAAATACTAACTATACTGTACTGTGTGACACTGTGTATCTAATTACTAACTATACTGTATACTGTATGACACTGTGTATCTAAATACTAACTATACTGTGTGACACTGTGTATCTAAATACTAACTATACTGTACTGTGTGATACTGTGTATCTAAATACTAACTATACTGTACTGTGTGATACTGTGTATCTAAATACTAACTATACTGTACTGTGTGACACTGTGTATCTAAGTAGTAACTATACTGTACTGTGTGACACTGTGTATCTAAATACTAACTATACTGTACTGTGTGACACTGTGTATCTAAGTAGTAACTATACTGTACTGTGTGACACTGTGTATCTAAATACTAACTATACTGTACTGTGTGACACTATGTATCTAAATACTAACTATACTGTGTACTGTGTGACACTGTGTATCTAAATACTAACTATACTGTACTGTGTGACACTGTGTATCTAAATACTATCTATACTGTATACTGTGTGACACTGTGTATCTAAATACTGACTATAATGTACTGTGTGACACTGTGTATCTAAATACTGACTATAATGTACTGTGTGACACTGTGTATCTAAATACTGACTATAATGTACTGTGTGACACTGTGTATCTAAATACTAACTATACTGTACTGTGTGACACTGTGTATCTAAATACTAACTATACTGTACTGTGTGACACTGCGTATCTAAATACTAACTATACTGTACTGTGTGACACTGTGTATCTAAATACTAACTATACTGTACTGTGTGACACTGTGTATCTAAATACTAACTATACTGTACTGTGTGACACTGTGTATCTAAATACTAACTATACTATACTGTGTGACACTGTGTATCTAATTACTAACTATACTGTACTGTGTGACACCGTGTATCTAAATACTAACTATACTGTACTGTGTGACACTGTGTATCTAAATACTAACTATACTGTATACTGTGTGACACTGTGTATCTAAATACTAACTATACTGTACTGTGTGACACTGTGTATCTAAATACTGACTATACTGTATACTGTGTGACACTGTGTATCTAAATACTAACTATACTGTACTGTGTGACACTGTGTATCTAAATACTGACTATAATGTACTGTATGACACTGTGTATCTAAATACTAACTATACTGTACTGTGTGACACTGTGTATCTAAATACTGACTATAATGTACTGTGTGACACTGTGTATCTAAATACTAACTATACTGTACTTTGTGACACTGTGTATCTAAATACTAACTATACTGTACTGTGTGACACTGTGTACCTAAATACTAACTATACTGTACTGTGTGACACTGTGTATCTAATTACTAACTATACTGTACTGTGTGACACCGTGTATCTAAATACTAACTATACTGTGTGACACTATGTATGTAAATTCTAACTATACTGTACTGTATGACACTGTGTATCTAAATACTAACTATACTGTACTGTGTGACACTGTGTATCTAAATACTGACTATAATGTACTGTGTGACACTGTGTATCTAAATACTGACTATACTGTACTGTGTGACACTGTGTATCTAAATACTGACTATACTATACTGTGTGACACTGTGTATATAAATACTAACTATACTGTGTACTGTGTGACACTGTGTATCTAAATACTAACTATACTGTGTACTGTGTGACACTGTGTATCTAAATACTAACTATACTGTACTGTGTGACACTGTGTATCTAAATACTAACTATACTGTACTGTGTGATACTGTGGTGTATCTAAATACTAACTATACTGTACTGTGTGACACTGTGTATCTAAATACTAACTATACTGTACTGTGTGATACTGTGGTGTATCTAAATACTAACTATACTGTACTGTGTGACACTGTGTATCTAAATACTAATTATACTGTATACTGTGTGACACTGTGTATCTAAATACTAATTATACTGTGTACTGTGTGACACTGTGTATCTAAATACTAACTATAATGTACTGTGTGACACTGTGTATCTAAATACTAACTATACTGTATACTGTGTGACACTGTGTATCTAAATACTAACTATACTGTACTGTGTGACACTGTGTATCTAAATACTAACTATACTGTACTGTGTGATACTGTGGTGTATCTAAATACTAACTATACTGTACTGTGTGACACTGTGTATCTAAATACTAATTATACTGTATACTGTGTGACACTGTGTATCTAAATACTAATTATACTGTGTACTGTGTGACACTGTGTATCTAAATACTAACTATAATGTACTGTGTGACACTGTGTATCTAAATACTAACTATACTGTATACTGTGTGACACTGTACAGTATATTCTATCAACATACAAATGTTGATAGAATATAAAGTTGAAGGTGTCCTGCTCATATCGTAATCTGAGCTTAATATCCAATATTAATTAGTGTCTACATCACATTTTCTCATTATGCTTTCTCTTTCGATCCCGACTAACAGACCCCTATAATCCAGAGTTTGTCTCTAAACACAGCTCAGCAAGCCCCATCCTGAATCTGTTTCCAAAAAGCAGGGATTGCGTTCATACTTCCATGGAGTCCCTGTGGTTTTTAAAGAGTTAAATGGCAAATCCCCAGTATCTAGATTATACACCCCTCCCTTTCTCCTCCCTCCCCACTTCCAGATGTTCAGATCAAATAAGAGGGAGAGAGACTGGGAGAGGGAGAAAGGGGTTTCCTAAAAGGTATTTGTATGGGGGGGAGAGGAGTGAGACTTTGTAACTGATCCCATACCAGCATAGGAGGAGTCCTGGCTTACAGTACCTCCCTCTGCTCTCAGTCTAAGTGGAGCTTTAAACCCAGCACTGGGAATCTCCCAGACAGAGTTACTTAGTATAAGGGAGTCTTCCATGCATTGACATCCTGTTATTAGGGATCTGATTGTTTGACGGGTTCATAATCTGATTTATTGACACCGCCTGTCCTTGTCGTGTCACCTCTGCTGGCTTCTCCACCATCACCACTGGATCCGGCGTTGGAAGGACACTTACCTGGGAGTCCACTTCGCTTGGCCTCGTAGTATAAACCTGACCAGCGAGAGGGGCTGTGATTTAGAGGGAGGGGGACCAGGATGTCCGAATTATCTGTCAATGACCACCTGGAGGGGATCCTATCAGACTTTGAAGGTACGTGCTTCTTTACGTCTTTTAGTGTACATAACACCAAAGATAATCTAGATTTATATTATAAATATGTAAAAGTTTATAATAGCACTATTAATGCACAATTTTATATATTTATACTGTGTTTAGAAGAACAAATACATTGAGATTTCTCTTGTTTTCCAGTATGACCTGGAGATGGCAGACAGGTCAATGTTACCCATGTATAAATGTAGAAAAGAATCCAGGCACAAATAGGCAATGATATTGGACCCAAGCACCAAAAAACAACGTTTCGACCCCTTAGGGCCTTTGTCAATGTTACCCATGTACACACAGATATGATATTATTACACATTAACTGTAATGGCAGCCGCATGTTGATTTGTATATATCCTATTAATCACTTTATACCTTTTATTTTAACTTAGTTCCTACAAACCCATCACTATTACCCCCCATGCCTGACAATTCACATTGTTCTTTTATTATTCTCAATGCCCCCTCCATTAGATTCACCCTTTATACTAGTTTTATACACTTCCAAAGCTAATCATTCACACACACGCTCTCTATTAAACACACACTTTCTCACTCCCTCTCTGTATAACACAATCTCTCACCCTCCCTGTATAACACACACTTTCACTCTCTCTGTATAACACACTCTCTCACCCTCCTTGTATAACACACACTCTCACGCCCTCTCTGTATAACACACACTCTCACTCTCTCTGTATAAATCACACTTTTTCCTTTCTCTATAGCACACACTCACACCCTCTCTGTATAACACCCTCTCTTACCCTCTCTGTATAACACTCACTCTCTCTATATAACTCACACTTACCATGTCTCTATAGCACACTTTCACACCCTCTCTGTATAACACACACTCTCTGTATAACACACAATCTCACTAATTATCTATAACACTTAATCTCACTCGCTCTCTGTATAACACACACTGTCACGGTGTCACCCCATCTGTGTATAACACACTCTCTCACTCTATCTCTATAGCACACACTCTTACCCTGTCTCTATAGCACACACTCACACCCTCTCTGTATAACAAACACTCTCACTCTCTCTGTATAACACACACTCTCACTCTCTCTGTTTAACACACACTCACACCCTGTCTGTATAACACACACTCTCACTCTCTCTGTAAAACACACGCTCACTCTCTCTATATAACACACGCTCACTCTCTCTATATAACACACACTTTCACTCTCTCTGTATAACTCACACTCTTACCCTGTCTCTATAGCACACACTCAAACCCTCTCTGTATAACACACACTCACACCCTGTCTCTGTAACACACCCTCTCACCCACTCTGTATAACACACACTCTCATACTCTCTCTATAGCACACACTCACACTCTATCTGTATAACACACACTCACACACTCTTTGTATAACACACACTCAGACCCTGTCTCTGTAACACACACTCTCTAACTCTCTCTATAGCACACACTCTCAAATGCACTCAAACACTTTTTCACACAATGACTCTGTCAAACACTCAGTCACTCTCTCTTTTTCACAATGACACCCTCTTTCACACACATAGACACTCTCTTTTTTTCCACACACTGCACTCTCTCTCATTCTGTCCGTGTCCAGACTTTCCATACTCAGGGCTAGTAGGAATCTCAAGCCAATATAGATCACCCTTAGCCATAATTAATAATTCCCAGCAATATCTGGTACTTCCCAGCAACTCTGATATAGATAGCCATTTCTGATAATTCCCAGCCATTCTGATATGGATAGCCATTTCTGATAATTCCCAGCCATTCTGATATGGATAGCCATTTCTGACAATTCCCAGCCATTCTGATATGGATAGCAATTTCTGACAATTCCCAGCCATTTCTGATATGGATAGCCATTTCTGATAGTTCCCAGCCATTTCCGATAGGGTAATCCCATATTCTCTTGTAATTCATTCAGTGTAGAGCATTAACAATACGTATTGCAGACTGCTAATTAGTTCATAAATTATAGCGCCGTGAGCATGCACTGTATATGTAAGAGATTAACTCCAGTGTTACGGACAGTAAAACGGGGAAAAGTTATTAAAGTTGAACAATCGAAATAGAAACCAACCTATCGAATCAGCAGGATCATATCGTACAGCGCTGCGGCATTAGTTGGCACTATATAAACCCCCAAAATAATTAAAATAATAATCATCACACTGGTTTCTGTGGTGACTGCACCTCCTTTACAATGTTGCTGAGAGGTCAGTTAGCGTCAGTTTTGTAAAACTCACCCCAAAGTTATTTTGTATCGTTTATTCATGTCCCCCTATGCTTTTATTTCCAGATATCCCCCTGATTCTTCTCCTTGATTTTGTCTGCCCACCCCCTTCTCTTACAGAGAGGCAGCCTTAACCCTCTGCATGCCAGGGCAGTGAGAGCATATTAAATAAGTCACTTGGCATTAAAGGGAATGAACCCTTTGTCTATCAGTGGGGTGCCCAGCAAACCCCCAGCACTGTACAGACCCAGAATGAATCTCTTTACTTTAAAAATCGTAACTCTGCTCTCTGTGTGTTTAGGAAATAACTTGCTTTCATAGATCGCTTGCAATGTTGGAGCTTACTGGACAGTCCCCAATGTCCTTTCGCTGTTTCTCTTAAAGGGTTATTTACAAAAGTGACAATTCATATGGAATTTAATTTAAGGCCAAGGTAGCTGAACTTAAATCATAGCGGACTTGGAGAAGTTTTCCACTTGGACTATTTTAACCTTAAATCTCACATTCGTGTAAAACCCTACACAGAGCTTATTTAAAGTGCGGATTGCGAGCCTATCATCCGCATTCGTAGCTGAATCCACAATAGCCGAGTTGGGAAGATGTCACGCTGGCAGGAAGACTAACCCTTCTTGCCTCTTCCCCTCAATCTGGATCTATTCTTCTAGAAGGACAGTTTGCCGGATACAGGACACGTGACTGACAAATGGCCCCTGTTTGAAAGACCATTTGTATCCGTCCGGCTCCTGGAAGCTGTGAAGGCCGCAGTAATGACATGCTGAGATGTGTTTAGTAAACTAAGACTCTTAGAAAGTCCATGTCCTCATTACAGGGACAGACTGAATGGGTTCGTGTGTGGATGAATAGTGAACAGCTGGAGAGAGGTTACTGGCTTCTGCCCAATGCTCTGTACAGTATTTGTCATGGGGGGAGATTTAAAGGGACCGTCCAGCCTGGAGGTGCATTACAGGGGTAGTGCGTTAAAGTAGATATGCCTTAACAATACATTAATCAATAATAATAACTAAAAATAATCAAACAAGATACATTTAAAATTAATTTTGCTGTAAATTCATTAAATTCATAAACTTTGCAACTTATGCTGTGAGCTTAGCCGGGAACTAATTCCGCCAATCAGAGGTGTAACTAGAAACCACTGGACCTCGGTGCAAACATTGGGCCCCCCGATTTGTCTCATCCCCACCCAGTCCCTCCATGTGTCTGCTTATGCCCCCTCCCATTCCCTCCATGGATCTCATTCTTCCCCCCTAGCCCCTCCATGTGTCTCAATCTCCACCCAAGCCACTTTATGTGTCTCAATCCCCTCCCAGGCCCTCATTGTGTCTAATTCTCCCCCCAGCCCCTCTATGTCTCATTCTCCCCTCAGCTCCTCTATGTGTCCCATTCTCCCCCCATCACCTCCATGTGTCTCTCATTCTCCCCCCGCAGACCCTGATTGTGTCTCATTCTCCCCCCAGCCCCTCCATATGTCTCATTCTCACCCCAGCTCCTTTATGTGTCCTATTCCCCCATCCTCTCCATGTGTCTCATTCTCACCCCAGCTCCTTTATGTGTCCCATTCTCCCCCATCCTCCATGTGTCTCATTCTCCCTGCAGCCCCTCATTGTGTCTCATTCTCCCCAGCCCCTCCATGTGTCTCATTCTCCCCCAGCCCCTCTATGTCTCATTCTCCCCCAGCTCCTCTATGTGTCTCATTATCCCACCAGTCCTCTGTCTCATTCTCCCCAGCTCCTCTATGTGTCCCATTCTCACCCCCAGCCCCTCCATGTTTCCCATTCTCCCCCATCCCCTCTATGTGTCTAGCCCCTCATTGTGTCTCATTCTCCCTCCAGACCCTCCATGTGTCTCATTCTCCCCCCTAGCCCCTCTTTGTCTCATTCTCCCCCCCAGCTCCTCTATGTGTCTCATTATCCCACCAGTCCCTCTGTCTCATTCTTCCCCCAGCTCCTCTATGTGTCCCATTCTCCCCCCAGCCCCTCCATGTGTCTCATTCTCAACCCTGAGTCCCTCCATGTGTCCAGTTTCCTCCTGCCCCCAGCCCCTCCATGTGTCTCAATAAAGAAGTTGGAAGTTTCTCATCATATTTATTGCTACATCCAGAAACTGCCCACAATAAGTCATTTACTGACATGGCATTGTCTTCCCCAGATTTAAGAAAAGAGGGACAGCGGGATTTAGGCCAAAAATATGGACTGTAACTCCTAAATAGGGACATCTGGGAGGTATGCAGGTGTAGTGAAGGGTTATTAGCAGTGGGTAGGAGCAGTAAAGAGGAATATAATGGGGTGCAGTTAGTGCTTACATTTTAAGGTTCCAATTTAAGACCAACTTCATGGTTAACGTGATGTATGAATGTATTCACTAAACTGTGAGTTTTATTCAATAAACACTGAATTGTGGTGAGTTTTAATAGCCGAGCTGTGATTATGGCTGAGTTGGAAAATTCTTCTGGATCAGCTATTTTTGGCTGAATTTTACAATTCGTTTTTCATGAATAAGCCCCGATAAGTAATAATAACAAGCTATTTTTGGCAATGTTATCAGTTTGGGGAGAGTTAACGTTTTGCAGGTCACTTGTCAAACCGCAGTTTAGTACATACAGTGCACTGTGTGTACAGTATCTCGATATGAAGATGGATAATGAGCCAAGCCTTTCCCCTGCAGGGACAGGGTGAGTGATCACTCATTTTCCGAGAGGTTAAAGATGAAAGATGCAGGGTGATCTTTGCCATGGGAGCGGTTTATACCCAAGCGTGGGAGACTAAGATTTCAACTTTCATCTTAACAGGACAATACATGGTTTGTGTTTACCGAGGGTGACAATAAGAGGCACCAATACCGTACATAGATCAAAAATCTAGATCTCTTTGATATTCAGCCTTCCAGTTACTTCTGTTTGTCTTTCAATATAGTGCCAAGGGCTGCCAGTCTAGAAATCCTAGCAGATGGACGGCTATTATTTAAAAACAAAAATGACAGAAGGGAAGAGCTTTAAGGAACACTGCAAACTGGATTCGATCCATTCTTTTCTTTAATGTTTTATATTGAAAGTTCATCATTAAATATGTATATCAATAAATAAAAAATAATGATTAAATAAATAAAATAATGCATTTGAATTTCATGCATTTTTTTGCGAAATTCCTGGCTGTGTAGGCTTTACAATACGCTCCCACCAAACCAGGAATTGACTAAGCTGGGCATTGGTTCAGTAGCCAACAATCAGGGCTGTATCGCTGAATCTTGGGATGTTTCCGCTGACTTTGTACTTTCTTTTGCACTGCTGAGCATTTCCCACAACGGAAACAGCATTACAGGCCCAGCAATGGTTTCTGGGAGTTGTAGTTCAGTGATTATATTACAGCGCTACAGAATTTGCTGGCGCTATATAAATAATAAAATAATAATATTCATATTTACCAAATGTGCATGCGCGAGGCTACAGCTCCTATCTCCTTATCTCCAGGATCGAACAGTGCCACATGTGCCCACTACACATTCAAGTTAGGATTAAACTGATTCAGCACCCCCCCCCAGAACCGAGATTCTAGGGATGCAGCAGTGACCGCTCTGAGGGCTGTCTGATAGCTGTGTGACTTTTACTAATCACTGCAGTTATAAGACACTTTCAGAGCTGAGCGTGGGGGTGGGGTGCTCTCTGCAGTGTCAATATGGCCTGTGCGTCCTTTTATGTTTATTTAATGAAGTCGTATTTTAGGTAGAAATACAATAGACGCACTGTGTACACATGGGTAGAGGTATGATGGTATACCTCTGCTTTTACACAGCCTTGCTACTGAGCATTACTTAGCATTACATACAGGGTTTACTTACTAAATAGAGAATTGCGGAGAATAAAAAAAAACTACAAAATTCTCATTAAGACCTCCATTTAATATTTTTTTTCGGATATGTTTTTCAAATTATGTAGCATATTAGATAAATTTGTAAAATGATTTAACATTCTGAAAAAAATATAAAATATATATATATATATATATATATATATATAAATAGTTTCTTATGTAATAATATATTTTATATAGGATATATTTTGGATATTTATGAAAAAAAATTCTTTGAAAGTTTATCCAAAAATAGTAAGAGCTTATTTAAAACGATTAAAATGAGGCCAAAAAATAGCTAGTTTTACCAAAATTAGGTAATTTGTTTTTTTTATGTCACCAGAATTCAGTTTTTAGAATAAACCCCAAAGTGGCGTTTTTGAGAGAACTACACGTTGTTCTGTTTATTTTACTTCCATCAGTCGTGCAAACGCCTCACTGATATTCTATACCAACTTGTGTGTAACTGGCTTCCCTCTAGCTGTCTCAGGATGGCTTATCGTTATAGGAGTTATCATTCAAAGGCAGCATAATTCCAAGTTTTACGAGCCATCATCTGTTGCGAGACCGTCAAAATAGCGTATTACAGAGATAGGAGCCTGCAGCACTCCAACTGCTGGGGAATGATACCCATGACTCTCAGCCAGCATAGCCCTCTTCACCTACTGTTCCAATATGTCAGTCATGTTTTTTAGAATATAGTGTCCGCCTTGTTTACCTATTGTACGCCGCTGCCGAGTATGTTGGCGCTATATTGTTAATTGTAATTGTTTTTCACACTCGATATTGTTTTTTTGTATAACTCCCTGTCCTCTTTAATCCGAGAGCTCTTTCAATCTGTAAGTATAACACATTTTCTAATAAGAAGGCAGGAAGCCAATAGCTGGTGAGTTAGTTAATTAGTTGTGGTTTCAGGAAGCGTTTGATAAAAACAGAAGTCTCTGCAATTAGAGGTTTGGATAATGGTGCATCTCCAACCAAACATTATCAGTTCATTCAGTTCCAAGTATAGATGGCAATGTACTACGCGCATGTATAGAGTATTGCTCATTTTACATAAATATCTCATAGTCCATTCCTTTCAATGGAAACAATGTATAAAGTTATGTGGGTGCGGCTTCTGTGAAAAATAGGTGGGGCTTAATAACAAAATAATCTGTGTATGGTGCAAAATGGGTGGGGTTTTACTAGAAATGGGTGGGATTAACATGCAAGTAGCCTACTTTCATGATAACCCACTTCCAGTAAAGCAATCATTAAGACACATGCCTTCATTTTCCATGCTATAGCCCCCCTTAAAATTTACACGAGTCTGGTTATTGAAAATCTTACAATATGTCTGTATTTAAAGGGGTAGCATGGTCCCGCTACAATAACCCTCATTAGCAATAATGATTTGAAAAAAGCTCTGGATCACAGCTGGGTTTCTCCACACCTGGTCATTTGGACTAGAATTTGGGTTCCTATATCCTTAGTGCCTGTGGAAACACTGAAAAAAAGAACGATGAGTATAGTTTTCCATCAGCAAGCTTCCTGTTGACTCCGCTGTTTATAAATTTAAGTCCTTTCTATTATTTTCAGTCTATTACTGCTTTATATCATGACCATATTCCCAGTCATTCCCCCAAATCTCCACGCCGGCCACCAGAGTTATAATCTTTCAATATGTGGCTCCGTGATCTCCGTCCCACCTGCTAGGCATTCAGGAAAATTCTCTTTTACAAAATCAGTAACCATACAGAATTCTTCTCTAATAATTATACAGAAATATTCTTCTTACGTATTCACTATACGAAGACTTGTAGTGAATTGAAAACCACACTGCAACGTTTAGGAAAAATATCTGATTTGGAAAAAACTCAAATTCAGCTGTAGTCATATCATGGCTGCTTTGCCGTACTTTATGCAAACGGTTTTCATTTCACCACAATCTGGTGTTTTTTGTTGAATATCCCCTGTATGTGTACACACCCATTGACATCACTTTGTGTTTGTGTACATATACACATTAATGCACATATTTATGTAATACAAACAGATTAAAGTTCCACAAGTTAAGGGGGAAAAAAAAATAAAACATTTTGAGTTAAAGGGTTAAATAGATAAAAATCTCAATGAATGTCATTTGATTATAAGGCAGACAGAAAACTTAAAAGTTAAAACATTGATTTAAAGCCCGATACGGCTAAAGTGGTGTGCTCAGAGACATGTTATATCAACATTCTAGGCGTGTGCGAGCATGTGTGTTTGTGTATTGTCAAAATAACGTCACCTAAATATGTAAGTTTGTGTTTGTGCTGCCCTCGGTGTAATAATAAGAGACCAGACAATATCTGAACACTGAGTTTTTACGCAACCTTTAATTAGATATCTTTATAAAAGATCAGAAAAAAAGATCAGACGTGGTTTTCAATCCAGTTGCACAGTCTGAATTTTAAATAATTTTACCTGGTTAAGCGTTAGATTTTTTGGTGTATGGGCAATTTATATATTTATATATAGTGGCAGGACTACTTTAAGAGGCCAATGTAAAAAGACATTAAAAAACATTAATAATGTACTTTGGATAAAATTGTAAATTGAAAGAGGGTACTGAAGGTGACAAAATAGCTTTGAATGGTGTGAATATGGACTGGTGACTTATTTATTGTAATTTCTGCATGAGATGAAAATGATATCACCTTTAATTTCTATGTTTTGTACATTTGTGGTAACGCTCTGAAGGCTGTATTTTTTTTAATTTCTCCTCAATGCGTTCTTAATGGGGGTTGTGTGTAAGAGGCGTCTCGGAGCTTCCGCCAGCACAAGATGGCACTTGTCTTGTCTTTAGTGGGGCAGCAATAGGTCTGAATCGATCGTGGGTGGAGAAAGCAGCATTCTATAAACGACTTGTCTTTTTGTCATGCTTATTTCTCAGCTGGAATGCTGACAGGAAAAACAATCCGTTTTCACAATTTCATGTATATCGCTAATTTATAAACAGGAAATATTTTCACATTATTTTTCTTTTTAGAAAACCTATAGAATGGAATGCCCCACTCATTTAGTGTTAGCCCGGCTCTATACAATGGAATGTCCTACTCATTTAGCGTTAGCTGGACACTATAGAATGGAATGTCCCACTCATTTAGTGTTAGCCGGACACTATAGAATGGAATGTCCCACTCATTTAGTGTTAGCCGGACACTATAGAATGGAATGTCCCACTCATTTAGTGTTAGCCGGACACTATAGAATGGAATGTCCCACTCATTTAGTGTTAGCCGGACACTATAGAATGGAATGTCCTACACATGTAGCATTAGATAGTCTATAGAATGAAATGTCCTACTCAATTAGGGTTAACCAGGCTCTATACAATGAAATGTCCTACACATATAGCATTAGCAAGCTTTATACAATGGAACGTCCTACACATATAGCAAGCTTTATACAATGGAATGTCCTACACATATAGCGTTAGCAAGCTTTATACAATGGACTGTCCTACACAAAAAGAGTTAGCTGGTCTATGGAATGGAATGTCCTACTCATTTACCATTAGCCGGGCTCTATAGAATGGAATGTCCTATTCATTTAGGGTTAGCCGGACACTATAGAATGGAATACCCCACTCATTTAGTGTTAGTCCAGCTCTATACAATGGAATGTCCTACACATATAGCATTAGCAAGCTTTATACAATGGAATGTCCTACACATATTGCGTTAGCAAGCTTTATACAATGGAATGTCCTACACATATAGCGTTAGCAAGCTTTATACAATGGAATGTCCTACACATATTGCGTTAGCAAGCTTTATACAATGGAATGTCCTACACATAAAGAGTTAGCCGGCCTATAGAATGGAATGTCCTACACATATAGCGTTAGTCGGTCTATAGAATGGATTGTCCTACTAATTTACCATTAGCCGGGCTCCAGAGAATGGTATGTCCTACTCATTTAGCGTTAAATGAGCTCCAGAGAATGGTATGTCCTACTCATTTAGCGTTAAATGAGCTCCATAGAATGGAATGTCCTACTCATTTAGCATTAACCTGGCTCTATAGAATGGTATGTCCTACTCATTTAGCGTTAACCGGGCTCTATAGAATGGAATGTCCTACTCATATAGTGTTAGCTGGCCTTTATACGGTTGTGAACTAGGATGTGACCAGGATTAATGGATTCAGATTGTGGCTGATGGCAAACGTGAAACGTGCATTATGGGTCTTATCACAGAGTTACTTCAATAACCATGCATTATATGGACCTACAACAAGACAAAGCTGTACATGCGTCATTCAGCATTACACATGTTCCAGGGCTTATGATAACATATGGACTCTGTACATGTGATTTTTTATTTTTTTTTACATGATATTTAAGATTGCTCTAAATCATAGGTAGCAAGATTCTGCCAGGAGATGTGTAATATTTCAAAAAGTTCTATGAAGCCGAATTGGTGGGATCCCAGAATTATACAGTCAAAAGGGTTAAACAAAAAAGAAACTTGTGTAGTTTAGCTGAGCCAGTTAGTGGCAATAACATCAGAGGATGTGATTCATTTCTACGGACCATCTGATCTGATGAAGACACATCTGCAAGCCCAATAGTTTTGTTTACAAGAAGTCTCCGCAAGGACCATGTGTTGGGTTAATTGTTCCCAAATCTCACCCCTGGGGACTTCTCATTGTCCACATCCCTTAGTTAAGCTTTGTTCACAACCGATCTTGTCTTAAACCCTACAAAGTAAGTAACCAATTACCAGATAGACAAAACAACCGCCAGACTTCTCACCGTAGCGTATAACCGTTAGCCACAGTCCAGATTAAAGAAACATTGTTAAACACTAGAAAGTATTTTTCTGACAAGGGAGACATAACCACGTCTGAAACTTGATCCAGTGCTTCTCTGTGTGGGATCCTTGACGGGAACTTATTCCTATAGCTTTTTATTATTGTTTTATAACCCAAACTCTCCCCCCAACCCACAAAATAGACGCAGAGCCTAGCTCCTGCATTAAAATGGCCGCTAATCCCTCCTAATTGAGTGACATTAGTAGACTTTACACAAATCTGATCCGAGATTAAGATAAAGATTTTAGTGGTTACGAAGACAGAGCGACCAGGATGGGGTGTCAGTTACGCTTTGTGCAAACACCTGACCGTGGAATTTTAACGAATAGGAAGTGAAAAGGAAACACGCAAATAGGGGTCTAGTGACTAGACAGCAAACTGTACAAAATTCTATGCAAAATTGAAAATTTCTGGCTCAAATAGCCGAGCTGTAACTATAGCTGAATTGGAACATTTTTCCAAAAGAACTCTTTGGCCCTAAACTGTTTTTTTTTTTTTCACTACAATTTGTTGCTTAATAAATCCACTCTATTTTAAAAAATAAAAATAAGAACTAAATAAAATGTTAGGTCAATATAGCCAAGCTTGGAAAATAAATTTTAGTTAACCAAATACCACTAATAACAGATATATCCAACCAAGTGCTGAAATTGCCAACATATATGCAGATTAAAAGCTAAATTGTCCTGGGTGCGCATGCTATGAGCGGGCACCATGGTTACATGTTTAGGGCCACAGATCAGCATTGTGATAAACAGTGAGAAATTCAAGACAAAAAAACATAAATAACTTGTACGTATAGATTTATTTTTCTGCTGGATAAAGAGGCGCCATGTCATATTTGTCATGACAGGTGCACTTCAACTTCCGAAATGTAACTTCTATTGACTTACCCTCTGGGCCTACACATTCCTCAGGTTAAGAGACTGCCTTAGGGTGATCACATTGTCCTTGTATTTTAGGAACGCTCTGAAATTTTGTAATTTTTTTTTCCAGGCTGCAGTTATCATTCTGTGGGATGTTTATAATCTCTGCATTCTGTCAGGCAGAGTTTGGTAAGAAACCTTTGGGTACGGTCCGCAGCCATTTTTATGGATCAGTTTTTACGGTGTCGATCTTACCCGGACGCAGATAGAAATGAGGGGGTAGAATGGGGATGGAGACATATGAAAGAGAGGAGGAGTAAAGTGAGATGTAATATTATTATTAATTATTAATTATAGGGTGCTAACATTCTCCATTGAATAGAGAGTTGCAGATGAGATCAGGCACATGGAGTAAAGAGAGGGGGGACATGATGAATATTCAAAGTGAATTTCACATTCAAGGCCATAGTAGCTGTTTTACATAATTTTTCTGGTTCGGCTATTTTAACCTTAAATTTTAAATCCACTTTGCATTCTCACTTTCACAAATACCATGATGGTAATAAATATTAATCTATGCATTCGTCAATGAGGAATGCCAGAGGAGTTGTCTTGATGGCAGCCCCTCCACACCTGCAGCATGTGAATACTGTATTCTAAAGGGCAGCACTTTTCTTGCACTGCCCATCAGTATGAAGAAGTGATGAAACTTGGTGGATCTCACAGCTCAGAGTGCAGGTCAGAGACTCGGTGTCCCCTGCAGTCTGCGTGTTGTGTTGGACTGTGGTGGGTGGACCTGCAGGTAAATAGACGGTGAAACCTGACCAGGAAAATGAGACACAACACAAAGCCTGCCTGGCTTCTCTCAGAATTACAGACTAACCCCTTCTACGCCGGATTAGGGAGGAGGGGCAAGTCATTGCTTTTAAAGGAGTGAAAAGGGTAACTCAGGGTCTTAACTGCATTCTGTGGAGCAGACAGGTGTGTGATTATATGTGTAAATGGAATATCTGGTCACACTGATTAAACAGCTATCGTGTGCGTGCGTGAATGCACACTACGCATTCCATCACACGTAGACAAAGGGCCATTCTTGGGGTTTATTTAACCTGCGCAATGGCAGAGGAAGAGCTAGCGATAAATGTATATTGTTAGTAAAAGACTATACAGTGCGAGATCACCTGTTGATACTGTGCATTAATGCAGTCAAAAGGGTTAAATAAAAAAGAATATTGTGTCGTTTACCACATCGGGGTTCTGGTTAATTCATTATAACGTTAGGGCATGACTAGAACTGCCATCTTTTCAGCTCACATGGTGTGTAAACCATAGCATGGCGCAAGTTGGGGAGCCATTATATCAGATTCATGTAGGGCCTGTGAACCCTGAGATACCCCAATACTGACATTACATCATACTCGATACAGCAGGGGTAAGCAACCTTTGGCACTCCAGGTGTTATGGACTACATCTCCCATGATGTTTTTCCAGCATTGTGGTTATAAGAGCATTATGTGGCATGTAGTCCACAATATCTATTATAGTGCTATACCCTGCTGTACATAATTCGTCACAAAAACCTTAATGTGGATACGTTGACATTATCCATTTTCTGCCCTCGGAGACAAACACAGAGAAGGGTTAAAAGGAATTGTACTTATAAAAATAATATTAACACAATTGTCTGGAGTCGTCTTCCCAGACCTCTGTACAGAAAGCAGGTGAATTTGAATCTGACTTGGATTTAAAAGATTCAAGCCGTGACTAAAGACGAGTTGTAAAAACACGCCCAGCGTTTTTTTGTCTAACTTTTTCCAATTTAATTTTCCTTTCACGACAATTCACTGGTTAGCGAGTATGCCCCATTTAGCGTAATTATCTTCCAATCATGTCACATAGCGTGTAAAATCAACACACAGCACTTACTGGGATCAGCCATCTCATTCTGCAGCAGAACACTTGAGTGCCATTAGCATTAATTAGAAGTTAATTACTTCTTTGTTTTGGGTTACATTGTATGTAAATTGGGAGAACAGCAATTTGCTGATTACATCAGTTTGATCTTAGATTTCTATAAGCTGAAGGTGACCTTATAAAACAGGTTTAAAAAATTCAAGATGGCTTCTGCGCAGGGTGATAAATATTAATTTATTACCACCTCAAACTGTGATATAGTTACCTCACCAAAACTGGGATAAACAAGGAACTCAGCGTAAAAACAAGAAAAAGAGAAAGAAATAGTGTAGTATTTTATTGACATCAAGTTAAAAACATTAGAATTTATACATTCACAAGTAAAAAGCACAACGAGTATGTGTCCCAAAGGCTGTAAATCTCCCACTATCCCCTGTCCCCTTTAAGACCAGGAATTTCATTGTCTGCGCCATATAAATGATACTTTACACTGGGAAGCACTTTTCATGCCCTGTCTATGAGCATGACAAAGTAACGTGTCCTGTGAACATATGGTAGAAATGTCAAATTTCCATCACCTCTTCGACAGAAATTATGTATCAAAATTTACTCTTTGAGAACCCTGACGTGGCTCTCTTTTACACCGAAACCCATCCTTTAAATAAATAAATAAATAAATAAAAAGCTTCCCTTCCTCCTCATTCTGCATTATCGCCATCACCCCACAAACGCTGGAGGCAAGTCTAGCACCAGGTTTATAAGCAATTACTTTTATCCCCTGATAGGCATGTGAGGACAATGTGCTAGATTTGGGATACATGGAAGTGGGAGATCTCCCCACGTCAGGGAGTCTCTTCCTCCTTAAATAGGGATACTTGGCATATCTGAAGAGGCGTCAACAGCAGAGGCTCATGGGAGCTTCAGGACAGGACTGAACGCCACCCCGCTGCAGGGTCAGGAGCAATGGAAAGTTGTTCCCCCAGGGCAGGATTTGACAAGATTCTGACTGGTGCCCCAGAGTCGACCTACTGACATCCATCCTAACTCTACATCAGGCATGAGGCACGGGAATGCGAGATTGACAGTCGTCTCCTATCTCATTTAACCTGTTCCCTGCCGCAGGGCAGAAGATCGATAGGTTTACGGTCTCTTTTGCCAAGCATAGGGGAATACCATAAATTATCATTCACATTCAGATAGAAAATGAAAGTTTATAATCTGGTATATTAATTTCTAACTTCAGGGATATCTCCTGCTGTAGCCCCATAACTTTATCACTATACAATATGTCTTCATCATTTATTTAATATTTTCACTTATTCTTTTATTTACATAATATTATAAACGTAATCGCTCACAAAATTAATTTTTAGATTGTAAGCTTGTTTGGGCAGGGCCCTCTTCACCTACTGTTCTCATATGTCAAACCGTGTTTTGTTAGAAGTATTTGTCTTGGTTTATCTATTGTACCGCGCTACACGTTATGCTAGTGCCATATAAATCATTGCAATTGTTATTAATAAACGTGGGGGGTCTCCATTTGAGCAGTGCGCACGGGCAATAATGACTGACAGAGTTATTCACGAATGTGAGAATTGTCGAGAATTCAAAAGTGATTTTCAAAATTTAGACTAAAATAGTCAAATTAGAAAAAATTCCAAATCAATTCTGTCTCAGTTTGACTACATTAGTCTTAAAATTTGAAATTCACTTTGGGTTCACTGCAATTCTCACTGTTGTTAATGACTTTGCCAGTGATTATAGGGTTTCTCTATAGCTATTTGCCCTTTGAAAACACATTTTGTGACGCCTCGCTCCAAAAAATAAGGTTATGACGGCTTGTTTAACTCGGTTATGACATGTCTAAACTTGCGAGTGCTAATTTTTGTTAGCACACCAGAGGAAGCACCTTTGCACTTTACCTCTCTGCGAGTACATTCCTTCCAGAGATCTATTAGAAAGAGGAACTAATCACAGGCTATTTAATGCATGGTTTGTTGAGCAAAGTTATGGAAACACTTACACATATATTCCTGAATTCTACCTGCTATAGGAGAATCACACAAAGTGTTTTTATTATGACAGATCAGGGCCTAACGCAACATCTGATTCTGGTCGTCCCACAAAGGGACAAAATATATAAACAGTCCTGACTCTCGCTGTAAAATTAGGTTTATCACTAAAATGGGAATTTTGGAGAGCAGCCGAGTTGGGACAATAGCTAACCCGGAGACATGTTTGCATCCTGGCAGCTTTGGCCCAAAGCATGCAATTCACAGACAGCGTCCCACAATTCCCACTTTAGTAAATCATAACTCCAAATATTTCAAATAGACAAAGAGGGACACTTTCATTCTGGGGGCATGAGGGGGAGTGGGGCTGTTCTAAAAAAGTTTAGGCAACTTCGTGACTCACAAAAAATAATGTTATTTGCTAATAGCAATGTATGTATCCTAAAATTTAATTTATAACAAGAACAATGTATCTTATTTACACAGACAGATTTCTAAAGACATTTATTGCAGTTTAAAGGCACATTACTGGGAGTATTATTACTGTGGAGCTCTGTTATACACTCAGACACATTACTGGGAGTATTATTGCTGTGGAGCTCTGTTATACACTCAGTCACATTACTGGGAGTATTATTACTGTGGAGCTCTGTTATACACTCAGACACATTACTGGGAGTATTATTGGTGTGGAGCTCTGTTATACATTCAGACACATTACTGGGAGTATTATTGCTGTGGAGCTCTGTTCTAGACTCAGACACATTACTGGGAGTATTATTGCTGTGGAGCTCTGTTATACACTCAGACACATTACTGGGAGTATTATTGCTGTGGAGCTCTGTTCTAGACTCAGACACATTACTGGGAGTATTATTGCTGTGGAGCTCTGTTATACACTCAGACACATTACTGGGAGTATTATTGCTGTGGAGCTCTGTTATACACTCAGACACATTACTGGGAGTATTATTGCTGTGGAGCTCTGTTATACACTCAGAAACAGTAACAATATGGAGCTCCTAGAAATGTGGGACATTAGGATAAAACGAGGGACAGAGGAATTTGGGCCCAAAATATGGACTGTCCCTCCTAAATAGGGACACTTGGGACGTATAGTAAATGAGCCTCTGTATACACAGCTTACACCCACACTTAGCGGTTTCTTTGCCAGCTAACTATAAACACCAGTAATCCCTTTGAGCGGGTTCACAAGGGCGTACACTGGTTACCAAGTATTCTGGAGCTGAAACTGTTAAATCCGTCATTGTGATGGTACGCAGATCAGATGACTGCTTTGTTGTTTTGCTTTTTTTGTGGGAAAATCTGAGTGATTAGATCTGGCGGATCGTGAAGATAAAATACATAATGTCCTGAGGATGGCGGAGGTTTGGGGTATGGAGACCACACACTCTGATCGCTGGCACATGTAATCATTTCTACATGCAGAAGTCTGAACGCATTTCTCACTGCGCCTACGCGGTTATTCAATAAAATCCGTATTTTAGAAAATTCAATCCAAATGTCAAAATTTATGAAAGTCAGCTCTTGGTTAAAATAGCTGATTTGGAAGAATTCACAGTGCACAAATTTTGCATCGCTTGTGAAATGAGTATTTAGTTAGCTAAAATCAAGTGAGCCCAAATACACATTCTCCTATTGGCTGCTTCATATAACACTGTTTATCAGCTGATATTTCTGGAGGGAAAGCTCTCTTATTTATCACACATTACGCCTTCCCCCATGCACACGTTTACCATCTCTCTTTTATTAACTTATTTATTTTTCTCTCTTTTTATACCTCACTACGGCATATGATGGTGCTATATAATCAATGTTATTCACATTACTATCCTATCACTTGGCTCCGTGCTGGTGTGATTTAATGGCTGGTGAGATAGGATTTTGTTGGGACTTTAGATGATATACAGAAATATCCTAATTTCAGCTGCTGGTGGGACCCTTATGGCTGCAATATCTGCCCACTGCTAAGCTAAACTGGAATTCGGATAACATTTGCCCCCTTGTCTCTCTCGGGAGGGCTGTCTCCTCAGCTTGAAAGGAGCAGTCTCTTTCCTGTTTCAGTATATCTGGGAAGGCTATAATTGTTTTTGTTTTTTTGTGATAGTGTTGTCTGTAATCTTACAGCTGTCTGATCTTTCTGGGTCCTCTGGCCACCATATTTTGTAATATCTTTCTCCTGTCTCATCGTCCCTTTCCTTTAAACCTCTGATCTCTCGCCTCTGATCTTAATTCTGCCTCTAATTTGTCTCCGTTTCCCACACATTGGCCTGTAGGCTCCTGGTCTCATTTCTTCCTTCTGCAAAAGAAAAAAGTTTCTATTTTACAAATTTGCAAATCCTCCAACCTCTGTGCATATGGAATGGTAATCTTTTAGGTTTGAAGTTAAATCCTTGAAATGGAGCTGGCTACTAGAGTTTATGAAGCTTTTTAAGTCTGTAATTGCCTTGTCTTTTTAAGCCAAGAATAAGCCATCAGTAGGCACGCAGAGAGCCAACCTCATAATTATTTAACTGTCCGTGCCCAGTGCCAGCTCCAAGATGGCAGAGACCAGATGTATCACTAGGGACACAAAGTACCTGAAATGGTGAAACTTGGCTAATAAATCAGGGCTGTACTGCCAATCCCAGGGCACTTTGTAGGTTTATGCATTAAAGGGATGCCATTCCAACACTTATTGTTGTCTTATGACTTGCTGTCTAGTCTATATTCCCACTCCACAGCCCTAAGGTTGGAAGACATATATGTGAATTCTTCAATGCTCTGCTGACGTATAGGAATTAGTTCATTAAGTGTAAACTAAGGACCCTTAAAGCACTTTAGCTTGCTGAAATGCTTTATATGTGAATAGCGTTTCCTCTTTTTATCATTTTACAAATTGTGCAGATTTCCATAGAAATTGGTACTTTTATAAATTAACCTTTTTAGACCACCTGGCTGTCAATCAGATTGGTTTGGTTAGCTCAGTGAAGCTAAACTCTAGAGGCAGCAATTGCCCAGATAACCTGCCTTGCAAAGACTTCTCATTGAGAAGTCTGTGATTGGACAGACACAGACAGTGTGGACGGTGTTAGAAGGGGAGGGCTTGCAAAGGCTGCAGACAAGAGATCTGCAGCTTTGCAAGCTATTTTTAGATATACTCCCAATGAAAATATGTGTAATTAAATGCATGCTTGTTTTCATTCGGTCTATATCTACTAAACAGTGATCTTTAAAACTGTATATTAGAAGTGGAGTGTACTTTTATGTAGCGGTTCATAATGACTTGAAAATAAGATGACAGCCTCAGGGTTTCCACAAAACCACTTAGTTAAGGACACCTAATGAAGTCTTACCTCTACCCAGGTGCTCATTTACCTAAAAATCTAGCCTTCTCCACACCAAGCTGTTTCCCTTGTTTAAACGTACCCACGATGACTTGAAAACTGGCTTGTGATGTGGGATAAAAAACATTTTTTGGAAAAAAATGAATCTCCATTTCAGCAGAATTTAAGTTTTTTTATTTCTCCAACTCTGTTTTGATTTTCCAGCTTGTTATTTCCCCGTTTTCACTGTTTACTGCATAGTTACAGTGAAATCTAAGATCAAATAACAAGGGTTGGAATAAAATTAGCAGTATGGAAGATTTTTTTTAGAACACGATTTTGATTTCCACTGTGTGATTTCATTCTACATTTTACAAGTCAGTTTTCATCTTGCACAATTTACAGTTTAGTGAACAGACCCCTTAGTGTTACTGTATGACTTACTCTGGACACCTGCTAATATTAGAGGGATGCCGTGGCCAGCCCAGGACATGTGCCTGCTTACCCCGTTTTAGCCTCTCGAGTTCCCAATCCCCTCTCCATCTGTTTCATTCCCCTTTCCAGTTCTCGTTCTGTCTCATTACATTTTAATTTAACTTCCTCTCTCTTTCTCTCTCATCATCCAATCACTTTGTTTGATCTACGAGAGAGCATTATTAAGCAGCAGACTAAATAAACCCCACTCATATCTCTGGGCCTTTCGTGTGATGCCATGTACTGGGTCCGGATACAATTTGTAACACATTAAACCTTGCTTATAACACGGCATATTTTTCAATCCCTAATGACAAACTGCAATGGCATTTTGTGTAATTTGCTAAAATGCCAAGCTGCGTGAAATAAACTGATTATTTGGAGATGAACAGACATTTTTTGTAACGTACAGTAATGCGCTACAATGGCGGGTATCCCCATGGGTTGAAGGTGCATTTATCTACAATGACTGTCTAGTTACGGAACCCATACGAATACCTCATAACACTGGGAGGTATGGAACCGGGATAGGTAGATTGGGCAGACAGAGGGTATACCTGTGACATGGCATGTGTCACAGGTGATGCCCAAAGGGATAGACCAGCCTTAATGGGAGGTGGGCCTGTCTGAAAAAGGAGCAGGCCACTCTGGACTGCAAATGGCACACTGACTAGCCCAACTGAGGGTAGCACTGGTAGAGCATGCAGGACTGTCCCATTGAACCTGGGAGGGTTGGGAGCTATACATATGAATTGCTTTGATTGCTCTGTGCATCGTGGCATTTTACTTTTTCTAATTAAAGATCAGCTCCAGATAAATACGATAAAATGTATTCCTGTTAATTAATATGCTCAGTCACCCTTTGAGTTACACTTGCCCTGTGGCCCTATATTTCGGACTACACAGGTCCTAATTTTCACAGGTAGGAGTGAATAACACAGAACGGTGGTGGTTTGAGAAAACATGAAGTCAAAATTCCCAAATTAATTCCCCAAAACAAACATTTTTAGAGTACAGATATTTCACCCAAGTTTTGCAAATTGACTTTCAATTGTACAAATTTTTAGAAAATAAACCTTCCCGAGAGCCTGAGTCACACAAAAACCCGCTTTAAATGCTACATTTATTACGTGGTATTAGTCTGTGGCAAATAGTGAGATTAGTGGCTTCCTTGATGTGTTCGTTTGCCATTATCGTTATGGTTTATCCACTAAATTGGAACTTTTTGGGGACTAAAAAGGCAATTTCATCTTTTACGCCAAAATAGCTAAATTGGAAAAATACTTCAGTTCATCTGGCTTTACAAATGATCTGTTTTGGCCTGAAATTTGCAATGCCCTGGTCTACTTGCCACAATTCTCAGTTTATTGAATAAGCACGTTTCTCATCGTGCATTGCCTATTATTCAAACTGCAAAGGGAAAAGTATTCGAAATCCAAAAAGTGAAAAAGAAAAAATGGAATATTGTTTCATTTACACTGCGCTAAGCCCTAATCGTGTGTCTGCCTACAGGGTACGCATTGAGCCGAGTTCACACTGTAAAACCGTTTGATGTTTGATCCAGGTTAAACCACGCTTAACAACACTGCAAGTTTAGGCAAATATATAGATAATATACATTCACAAATAACTTCGCTTTCCTTAGTTAACCATTTCGGTCCTGGGGGACGAGGTGACAGGGAAGCTCAGGAAATGAATTTCTAAAATTGATTTTGGAGCCACAAGGAATGGGTGCGTGTGCCTGTAAAGATAACTGTCGTGGGCAGACAGTGGGCAGGAGAATACCCATGGATTCATTTTTATTTGTGTCCATTGCAGACACTCTTCCCTCTTCGTGTATATCCACCATCTGACCCTTCTTCATTTCAAATTTTACTTATTTTTTCCCATCCCCTGAGTTCTGACCCTCCATGAGTTCAATCAGTTCAGACGCTGGACAGTAATTAGCCGTGAGCCATAATTAGGAGCCATAACTCAGGTCCTTCGTATTTAATCAGTAACATCCCACTCCTGCTACCAATTCATTTGCACCAAAAACTCATCCATTATGTCAGCAAGCTATTTATGAAGTGTTTAGGAGACAGAGGTTAATGGAGTTACATATTACGAAGGGTCAGTTCACCACCTGCTGACAATCCACGTGCAAAATATAGGGGGAAATGCCTACTTAAATATTCACCCCCTCAGCCTACCTGTCTGCGCTACTTCACTTGAAATTGAGCAAACAGCTTGTCAGATCACTAGAACTCACTGCTTACTTGATAAACCTCTAAATCTGCTTTCTGTTACATCATCTCTCCAATCAGTGATAAACTATAGCTCCCATAATCCCTATCCTCAATGGTTGAGACTAATGGGAGTTGTAGGTTGCATATATCTGATTTTTGTAAATTGATTACCGATGCTGTTACAGAGTTAGCCGGTCCATCCTATCTGCTATATGCAGGCAGTCTGCTAGCCCATAGCCATAATACAGTAGCCACACTCTTTTTAGCTGGCCGCCGCCTTTCATTGCCCCTGCGAATTACTCTTGCTGTTTTTTTCCCCATGCATGCTTTGCCCATAAGGCTAGGTCGAACCCCACGGCCAGGTGACTGGTGAGGTCAAAGGTGACTAATCTGGTCCCAGGCCTAGAGGCCATCATTATTATAATTTTTATAATAACTCTCCTCTGCGGCCCCAAGCAATTCCATGGCTAGATAGCATGAATAGAATGTAAAGAATATGACAAGACTTTCCAAATGATTAAAATTTTGGGGGATAAACTTTTAAAATGACTCAACATAATTTTTTTTAAAAATCATAGCTTTATAATATTTAGATATTTTTGATATACTGATATTTTAATAAATATCTATATAAAGCTTGCCCAGCAATATTAAATCGAAGTCTTAAAGCATTGCGGAGAATGCACAAGAGAAATGAGTTAGGCCAAACTAGCCGACTCAGAAGAATGCTGGAGAATGACTTGGAGAATCTTCCTAATTAGACTATTTTGGTCTAGAGTTTGCTGACTTCACATATGTATATTGCAACTTTTAGGGCCATAGTAAAGGATCTGGAAAAATTCACCAATTCGACTGGATTACTGTTCTGCTATTATAGTCTAACATTTCCATATCACATGCCGAGTCTAACAATCTCCAGTCTAACAAATAAATTATAGGGTTTTGGTTTTTTTAGGGCTGTTCTGTGCACAAAGCTTACAATTTAAATAATCTATTTTGTAAAAGATCGTGCACAGTGCTTGATTAACCATTTCAGGAAGGCGTTAATAATTTAACGGCGTAGTTTATAGGCCGTCAGATCATTTTGTGAGATGTAATGCCAAGCTTAGCTATCCACAGCATATAAATATGTATCTTTACTCTCCTGAAATGACAGTTTATGGGAGCTGGCTAATTATATAAGGCTGCCCCTTCAGTCAATCATTTAAACCATCAATTCTATTTTCCTGTATCCCCCCAGCAATAGCCCTTTTGCCCTAACCCCCCACACCCTTTCTCCACAGTAACCCCTGACCTCCCCCCCCCCCAGTATTTCCAAGGTGAGAGGGAGAGGTGGGCTTTGGAATTTGAGGGAATTTTTTAGCTGTCTTACAGCCGCACCACCTGAGCATGTAGGAACAGGTAGAATGCCTGCCCGCCTCTCCACACAGACCCAAATCCACCCTACACACAGCTCTTTCTCATGGAAATATCTCGCCGTGTGTCGCACATTTCAGAATCGATGTTGATGTTTTGCATTCCTGTTTAACAGCGAGCATTTATACCGCTTCTATCTTTAAATAAAGAAAACCAGTGTATTGTTCTGGGATAAGTTTACATGTGTGAAGTATCACATAAAATGGACAATCGTGGGGCACCATTTTTAGTAATTTAGTAATTATGTACATTTATCAAGGTTTATTATACCAAAGCAGAGCTTTCAAAATGATAGTTTTAAAAATGACCTAGTGGTACGGGATTCATAACAGTGCATCATCCTTACAGAGTGCAGTATTAATGGTGTGTGGATAAGACGGTACCCAAAGTTTATACAATGTGTACATTTAGGGAAAAGCCCCCCATTCCCTGTAATAAGATGGTATTATGCACTACCGACTCTGTGGGTTTTTCCAAAGCCTGGAATGAGAGTGTTGGAAATATTAGACGGACTTGTATAAAAACTGGGCATTGCGGAGAATTTACAATTTAAGCCAAAACATTAAAATTTAGGACAAAATAAATGATTAGCAAATCATCTCCGTTTGTAATGTCATCTCTCTAACGCAATAATATAGCGCTTATTAAAAAAGTATCAGTGTAGCGTGCGTAGTCGGTAAGATTTTCCAGAAGCGTAGAGCACCTTAAAGAAGTGAAAATTTATATATGTTTATATATGTATTTTTTTCTTTTTAGACACTTGATAAACTAATAGAAGCTTGTTGGTACTCCCACCAGCAGCAAATGGGGTTTAATTAGAATCATTATGAGTGCCAATTTGTCTATAATCAAATACAAAAAGAGAAGTCCTGCGCTCACTCCCATCACTACTGGGCCGGCAGCAATGAGTATAATCAAGTGGGATCAAATGACTTTCCCTTTATGCTTACAGTTTATCAGGGGACTTCCATGTGGCTAAAATAATAATGGTTTTATAAAACTATCATTTCAATTCAACCCAAATGAGACAATTAGCAATATTAACACATTTTAGTTAGGAATTCTGTATTACCAAACACGTATTTCCTTTATTGAATGTCCATGACATTTTGAAATAAAAATAGAGAAAATGCCATTTTAGAATTCATCTACAGTGACATCAATGGAGCCGTATATTTGGACCCTTAACGCGTCATGGTCCCATTTTATTTTTCTCTTTATTCCTGAATGGTGTGTGCAAAGGTAACCAAATGGACTTTATACATCAACAAAAATGTGTGTGATTTTTTTCTTTTTAAATTTTTTTTATTATTTCTGTGACTTTTATATACCCTGATAGCAACAGAATAGCCTAAATTGAACTCACAAGATTTTACCCAGAGGCTTTTTTTCTGGTGCCAGACTCATTCACATATTAGTTTTCCGGTGCATTTTGTTGGCAGTAGGATGATTTTTTTTATACACATTAAGGTGTAACTTGTGGGTTAGATATGCTTCAATAATTTTTTGACTCTAATTTTTATCCCTGTATATGCTTCCCATACACGTTCACTGCAGATGTTACATACGGAAACCAATTCTGGTTAAAAATGTTAACTCTCAGGGCATTCAGCATCATCATTCCTTTAATTCCGCTTCTAGAACTTTGCCCCAAAATCCATCTTCATCATCGGCCCTCTAGGACAATCCTTATTCTGTCCGATTGGCAGCCCAATGATACTCTCAGAATCTAGGGCAAGCCCTAAAACCAATCACAAGGAACCTAGCTGACCTTACTCACTAAAGTGCTAAGCTTCACCATGCAGAATTCTGGGGCAAAACATTATAGTTGATGAGTTCTGCTACTGATATGCCTGAGTTAGAATTTTTAAGAATATTTTAAAGCAGGCAGATTTTGTCCATCAGTGTTCCGATGGTAATATTGAGACAAAAGCTCTGGAGTGAACCTTGAAGAATTAGTGAAAGCCTTCCTTGTGTTCTCACCTCTTTTTTCTTAGAGTCCCTTGGAGAGGAGTGTATAACTGCAAAGCTGATTTCTCCATATATGATGCTGCAAACAATCGATATTTTCCTGCACAAAAATTGAGTTTTCATTAACATTGATGGAGAAGTCACCACAATGGAGTGGTTTCCTGTTTATGGCATCAATTATATCGATTCAAAATATTAAATCATTTTAAAGGTTATCCAAAAATATTGAATCATTTGAAAAGTTTATCCAAAAATATGAAATCAAGGCCTACTGCTGAAGGCCAAGGGATTCATTCTTCATTTTGACTGACTGAGAGGCCCATCTCGGATGTAAATGATGTAAATAAAGTTCAATAATACAATTTCGCTAGGTGTCTCAAACATTAATGTTCATAATGGGCTTTTCTTCCATTGATGACCACATTGTATCTCAAAGTGATGGACTATCCATTGATGACCACATTGTATCTCAAAGTGATGGACTATCTATTGATGACCACATTGTATCTCAAAGTGATGGACTATCCATTGATGACCACATTGTATCTCAAAGTGATGGACTATCCATTGATGACCACATTGTATCTCAAAGTGATTGACTATATAAAATATAAAAACACTAACATTCTGAAAGGATTAAGGTCTTCGAGGGCTTGTTTAGACTCTCAAGGACAACCTGAGGAGCTGTTCACTAAATCGAGGAAGGTGGAGACATTACTAAGGAATTGCACTTTTTATTCCAAATTACCCAAATTGGAAGATATTCTACACCTTCTTACTCAGATATTTTGGATAAAAAATAGCTTTCCCAAAATAAACCTCCTTAATATTCCCATAGAGTGTGGGTTAGTAAATAGTACACGTTTTACAATTCCGTTTTCTATACTTATTCTGTAGAAGCTCACTCCAATCTTACAATCTGAATAACCATTTAAAAAAGCTCTCGATAAAAGCGCTAGGTGAGATCTACATAATGTTGTATTTCCACTGAGATCTAGATATTGGTGTAATGCCAGTGAGATAACATCTCTTCACGGTATATAATCCCATTAGTTGAATTCAGTTTATCAAAGTGTCTGAAATTGCTTACATCCCGATGAATGATCTTCCCCGAGTACAATAGTGTGAAGTGATGTATCTGACATCAGATAAAATCACACATTTAATGAAGACAAATTCATGATTCAGAGAGATTCTTCTCCGTGGCCTGTGTCAACGTGGCTGCCTTGATTACCCCACCTCATATTAACTGCTGAACATCTCATTTCAGCTTGGGATTGAACTAAGCATACTTCGGTCTGATCCCTTCGAATGGTCCGCATGTGGCCCTTGTTTTTCGGTTTTCGGAGAGCGCCAGACAATGTTGCTCAGGAATTTCTCCGGCATTCCTTTACCAGTCCCATCAAATCTCCAAACAAAAGCACTAATGTGCTTAGTATCGAGCAGTGATTTCTCCTGTCGTTTCTAGATATGCCAACATAAATTCCAAAGACTATTAATGTTTTACAGTTAGTATTAACCCTACTGTTGACACAAGGATGCCGGAAGGTGATCCCCACCTTTTTTAACTGCAACCCCTATGGCGCTTTGCTAGCTTTGAGATTAATTCTGCGAGAATACTGAAGTAGGAGAGATGATTCATGGAGAACTTCATTTTGACTGTGGCTTACCTACCAACTGTCCTGGATCTGGCAGGACAGTCCTGATTTAGAACTCTTGTAATACCATGATAGGATTTTTGACTCATATCGCTTCTGGGGAGACAGGAGAAAAGTGTTTAAACATCACAGATTCTAAAACCTACTGGTGAAATATTATATTCCCCCATCCACATCTGTTTATAAGCTTTCAAGAAGGACATGCACTAAATCAATAAAGAAAGAATGAGAACTCGGAGGATGGACAAAAGCTTAGAGATACTCAGTAGCTCCCCCTTTGGGAAAACATGCCTGTTCAGGTATCAGAATAGTTTTTGCTCACTTGTGCCATTACAGAGAGAACATATTATTATGTTATTATGTTATTATTTATATAGCGTCATCAAATTGCCATAAAGCAATTATCCTGATTCTCTGTGCCTTTCTATTTGTATCCAGTGGTAGTATGTGAATTGACGGTGCTATATAAATACCTCTGGCACAGTGTGTCTGAAACTTACATGGGGTGGCTGTATCCCTGCCAAGTGTTGAAGCTACCGCACACTAGCAGGAGTCTTCATGGGGGGGTGACAGATTTATTACACAGATGCCCAATAAAAAAAATTCTGCTTCAGGGTGTGTCTGCAGAGCTAAACGATCCCAAATAAGCAGCTCAAATTATACTTTTATATAAATATACCTTTCAGCCAGCCACGGAGGGAGCTGCCCCCTAACCTCATCGTCCCAGTGCAGCGAGAGATCCTTGGATTCCACTTTTACGATACAGATCTAGCGAGGTCACGTTTGGCCTTCCAGCTGTTCGTATTATTTTGATCATTTTTATTTATAGAGCCCCGACATACTCTGCTGCCCGGATACATTTAGGTGGGCATAGTCGTATAGCCCTACTATAATTATTGAAGGTGCAAGTGTCTGATATTTAAAGTAATGCAGGACAGGAAAGATGGCGGGAAATGCAGAATTAAACACCCACATTCGCGCCAGTCATATTATGTCTGATTTTCTTTATTCATGCCCCATCTAAAACCAAGATAGCAAAAATTACTGCGCTAGTGATAGTGAATAAGAATGTGCATAGTAAATATACAAATTGTTTAAAGGGATAATACAGGCACCATAACCACTTCATATCTGTGAAGTGGTTAAGGTCCCCATCTTCCCCTGCAAAGGGCAGCAGTGATAAGCTGAGTGTGTTCAATCACTGTTATGAATTGGTATGGCTAATAGCCTCCACCTTTGCCATACCTCCTCTTGGAGCCACAAGCGCCCAGGGATCCCCACCTAATATCAAATTTACAGATATCAGTTTAACACTGAGCAGTGGGGATCCAGGTACCATAACCATACTCTTTGGTGGAATCCAGTGGGTCAAAGTCAGTTCTTCACTCCTGGGCGTGAACGTGCAAGCAGCATATACTGCTGTCATCTAAACCTACATGATTGCGGCCCCCGCAGCTAGGTATTGACAGCGCATTAGCCAAAACCGCTATTACATACATGACCCAATAAATCAGATTTGCTTTGTAAAATGCCAAATGTGGCCAAAAAAGGCCTAAAGGAAAAGAAAAAGTTCAGATTACATGTTTACTGTACAAGACATGGCTTCACAACAGGCGAATTCAAGTAGGCATCTGGCGTTGATTAATTGTGAAGTGAGGATCAGTTTCTCTTGCACTTTACTTGTCCCTAGAGGGAACTTGTCATAGACTGTCTCCGATTCAATGTTTGGCTGTCAGGTAACTGCTTTGCCCTGTAGTGCATCCTTTGAAGACTCCAGCAAAGACGTGTGGTGAGCTGCAGTATGCGTGCGTTGACAAACAACGATATTAAACCATATCCCTCGCTCACTAACAAGATAAGAAGAAAGATTACAAAATATTTTAAACATTTACAAAAAACTTTAGCTTTTTCCTCATCTCCATGCACTAGAAAAAACACCACATGTAACTTTCTGACTCCTTACAGATTTTCAAAAGTAGCTCCTACACTTAATATTGGTTCGAGATTCCAAGCCAACCAATCAGAAACTGGAAAGAATGCTCACTTAAAAATCCCATGCATCGTCTGCAGGTTGCGGAGGCCACTGTAATGGAAACGTGTTGAGTTTTCACATGTGGTATTACATTCTAACTCGTGAATTAGAGGGTCTCTTGTGTGCCGAACATGATAGTCATCTGTGTCTGTACTGTGAATGTTTACAGGCCAGAATATAATATAAGTTGCTAACTTATCAGCTATTTCTTACCAAGGAATATTGACCTCCTGCGCATGGATTTTGGTTGTCATTATATGATTGCTCAGATCTAGGACTTCAAAATCAACAGCCTCAAATAAATGTGATTCCGATGTCTGTGGCTTTGGACATAGCTTTATTGAATAGTCTGTAAATAGCATAATTCTTAAAGTCTTACTACTTTTTAAAACAATATACTTTTTAATTTAAAAATAAAATACTAATAGTTCCTCAGCCCTTCGAACCCTGTTAAAAGCTTTAAAGGACCACTCTAGGCACCCAGACCACTTCAGCTTAATGAAGTGGTCTGGGTGCCAGGTCCAGCTAGGGTTAACCCATTTTTTCATAAACATAGCAGTTTAAGCCTTCCCCCAAAGCCTCTAGCGGCTGTCTCATTGACAGCCACTAGAGGCGCTTGCGTGCTTCTCACTGTGATTTTCACAGTGAGAGCACACCAGCGTCCATTGGAAAGCATTGTGAATGCTTTCCTATGCGACCGGCTGAATGCGCGCGCAGCTCTTGCCACGTGTGCGCATTCAGCCGACGGGGAGGAACGGAGGAGGATCGGAGGAGGAGAGCTCCCCGCCCAGTGCTGGAAAAAGGTACGTTTTTACCCCTTTCCCCTTTCCAGAGCTGGGCGGGAGGGGGACCCTGAGGGTGGGGGCACCCTCAGGGCACTATAGTGCCAGGAAAACGAGTATGTTTTCCTGGCACTATAGTGGTCCTTTAAAATGTGCTGGACATCCCAAAAGAAACACTACACATCTAGTGTCTTACCACCATGACTACTTCAAATCAGTGACGTGGTCATGGCGGTCGGAGTGACCCTTTTACATTACCAGCTGTTGAATGTTGCCACTTTTTGCCCTGGAAAGGGGAATACGTTGGAGGATCTGGGATTCGTTAAGAAAAGTCTGATACTCTGAGAAAATGGGGCTGAATCTTAAATCCCTGTAATAGACCCTGCATGTTACTGTTATTAAATAACAACACATGCTCTAATCACTGATAATGTAACAATCTGTCTACCTGGCAAGGTTCAGCCATTACATATCCTTTCCCTGATTGGTCCAAGGATTGTCCTGATACAGTCATGCTACCGATGTTAAATAAGTGATAATGTATTGTGACAATACAGCGTGTCCTTTCTCCATGTACAGAAATACACTTTACTTAGATGGGGGTGGAGGGGATTGACCTTTTCTTATAAACAATTAGCTGGAGAAATTCAACCCCCTTCTGAGAAACAAACTGATAGCATCAGTACAGCATGAGGGAACAGATGGCGAGGGGGAATGTAATGAGTCTGAGAGGGGTGAACTCAAAAACACCAAATGGTCAGGCAAACTGTGAGCCTCTAGGCATGTTTTCTATCATCCCACCAAACTCTGAGCCAGGACTAAGGCAAGGAGAGGCCCCTCTGTTCTATGTCTCAGCAATGGGATACAACTAGGACACAATGTTAACCCAGTTCGTGTCCTTCAAAGCTTTATTCAAACAGTTACAGACTGATGTCAGACTAGATATACTCCATTAAACATCCATTACTCCAGCAAGCCCAGGGCTGGATTGTATAATCCGAGACATGTTTATCGTTGGTAACAAACTAGTACTTTAAGACTTCTGTCAATATTGCGGTATTTATGTTTATGTAAAAGCGCTTTTTGCGCGTCCTGAACATGCGCAGGCCTGCATGACTGACTGACACATCCTCTACGAGCAGGTTTTCTTTGCCTAATAATATTGTTTTCAAGCATATATCATTTTATCATTCCTATCTCCATCCCTCCGGCCTAGTCCTGTTACAAGAGATTTGACCATAGCTGTTATAATGATATAATTAGGCATCTCGGACACTATGTAACCTCCTTCAGAAGGTGTGTGCACTTCTAACATTTTGTTTGGACAAATGCAGGCAATTGAACGTCCATTTGCGTTTCATTCCCTTCGTTAAAGGACCCGGGACAGACTCACCTTCTTTTCCCATAATGCACAGAGGTTTTACACACGGAGCATGTGCACAAAACGTATAAATAGCTTGCTCCACTTCCTTCGCCAAATGACATAATAGTGGTTAAAAGGGTCAACGTAAACCTGCCATTTCCTATTGACATGTGATTATCCCACATATGGAAGTGGGGGATAGAGTGGGAGTACTGACATATGTCTCAAATCCTCGAGTCTTTGCATTACGGGATAAAAGTCTTCAGACTGATCTGTCTTCATCCTTTTACTGTGCCAGGAACTCACTGTGTTTTCCGTTCATTCAGTATTCTTGTTTGTCACAAGTTTTTTGTCCAAGAAATGAAACATTATTTAAAAAGATATTTATTTGTCTCAGTTATATGATCAATGCGTAGCGGACCCCCCAGTACTACACCCTTTTTAATCTCACAATATAATGCTTAGGGCAAATGTTCAGTGATATACATAAAAAATTACATAGGAAAATATTTTATTATTGAGATAAAAGGTACAGTGTGTCTTTTAGAATGTTGGGCACGTTCTATCCTTGGCAATCTCAGGGGATCATTTCTGTCAAGGTTGGCTGGAATCTATATTCAGAATTTCAAAATAGGTCTCTGGCTCAGTTGCCTGGGAACACACCAGTTTTAGAAAAACCTCACCAAAATGTATTTTGAAAAAAAAAAGAGACTCAGTAATGTATTTGGTCAGCCTATCAACATAGCCAGATTTTCATCACAGGGGCCCATAGGTACAGGATTGTAACGTGCCCCTTAACCTTTCCCCTCGATAAGTAAAAGTTAGTGAATGCTGAGAGTAGTATACTGTGATTGTGAATGCTGTGATTAGGGCATAGATGTAGAGTGCAGAGTTTTAATGCAGTATACAGTATACCTCCCAAGTGTCCATATTTAGGAAGAACAGTCACTTATTTGGAACCAAATCCCTCTGTCTCTCTTTCCTATCCTAATGTCCCTCTTTTCTAGGAGCTCCATATTGTTGGTGTGTCAGAGTGTATAACAGAGCTCCACAGCAATAATACTCCCAGTAATGTGTCTGAGTGTATAACAGAGCTCCACACTAATAATACTCCCAGTAATGTGTCTGAGTGTATCACAGAGCTCCACAGTAATAACACTCCCAGTAATGTGGCTGAGTGTATAACAGAGCTCCACAGCAATAATACTCCCAGTAATGTGTCTGAGTGTATCACAGAGCTCCACAGTAATAATACTCCAAGTAATGTGTCTGAGTGTATCACAGAGCTCCACAGTAATAATACTCCCAGTAATGTGGCTGAGTGTATAACAGAGCTCCACAATAATACTACTCCCAGTAATGTGTCTGAGTGTGTCACAGAGCTCCACAGTAATAATACTCCCAGTAATGTGGCTGAATGTATAACAGAGCTCCACAACAATAATACTCCCAGCAATGTGCCTGACTGTATAACAGAGCTCCACATCAATAATACTCCCAGTAATGTGTATGAGTGTATAACAGAGCTCCACAGTAATAATACTCCCAGTAATGTGTCTCAGTGTATCACAGAGCTCCACAGTAATAATACTCCCAGTAATGTGTCAGAGTGTATAACAGAGCTCCACGGCAATAATACTCCCAGTAATGTGTCTGAGTGTATAACAGAGCTCCACAGTAATAATACTCCCAGTTATGTGTCTGACTGTATAACAGAGCTCCACAGCAATAATACTCCCAGTAATGTGTCTGAGTGTATAACAGAGCTCCACAGCAATAATACTCCCAGTAATGTGTCTGAGTGTATAACAGAGCTCCACAGCAATAATACTCCCAGTAATGAGTCTTTAAACTACAATAAATGTGTTTAGAAATCAGTCGCTGTAAATAAGATACATTGTTCTGATTATAAATGATGTTTTAATTGTATTAATTGCCATTATTATTATTTACAAAGTGCCAACAAATCGCGCAGCATTAATAAATCAGCCTGAATGTCTCAGAATACCCCACTAACAGATACCATGATATTCTGATCAGTCCAGATGTCCATGTTAACCAGTGTTAGAATGATTTGCCTGGCCACACGAGATACAGTCCTGTCTCACTAATACAGAGTTATGACTTCATTCACGAAGCTTCTCAATGACAACTGAATTTCAAATCCTCGGCTACATTAGCTGCAAATGCTTCTCTGGAAAATTCTCTTATCATTTCACCCAGTTACGCCGATAATATGCATTCCCTTGTCATCTCTTCCCAATCCCTAATTTAGTAAACAAGCCCCATTAATAAAGTGTAGGCTCTCAATGTCAGCTCCAAAACACAATACTATTCTTATTACATAGTGACCCTTCGAGTAGGGGAGGTGCCACATTCTTGTCACTCAGTACGGTAATGGATGGCAGTAGATATTCTACATTTGTCAGAATTTTCCATTTTTTTTATTTTTTTTTATATATTTTGAGCAAATGTGACCCATTTTATACTATTCATTTCTCCATTGATACACTGAGAAGTAGCAAAGAAGGGGTTAAGCCACCATGTAAATTCTTTCAGGTACCTAACAAGGGGGAGGGGGCCGACCTGGCAGCCATATGTCCCCATATCCCGAGGGCAGGCATATTTGGGCACAATTGTTCAAATCCTTCCTCTTCTAATCCCTTTGAGTCCGGAGGGCCCTACAAGGCGGTCCAAGGTAATTTTTGTGCCTTGGCTCCTTCTGCCATAGAATAAGATCCCCTACAATATAAATTACAACATTTCATTTAACCTCTTCATTGCCAGGAATCTGTCAGTGTCTGGTTCCAAGTGCCTTGGGCATGGCATAGAAGAGGGATTGTGAAATATCTTGCAGGTTGGTGATGAGTTCTGTACTTGGCAATCTCAGCAGATTTTCTTTAAAATTAAAAATACAGAAAAACACTCATTATAACTTTGGTTATTCACTGTCGAACAGATATATTAAAGTGAGTGATAATGGAGAGATTTCTAAGTCTGAATAATGTTGTTTCATCTTATAGTGGAAGATTCCGCTAGAAGATACATATTTATAATAACGATATATTGTATGCAATGATTAATATATCATTTATATCATTCTAATGTGTATAATGAATAACCTCTTATGGCATACACCCCAACAGTCTTTGATCTAGCATAACAGTCCCTACATGGAATATTTGACCTGCCATGCTTCCCACCACAGGGCACTTCCTGCCAGTGTAAGGGAGCTTGCACAGTTCTCTCTGCATTGGGTAGTCCTAGTGGAATGTTGGCAGAGGTGGTTGACCTATACCAGCTGTCATGCTCCCTGGGGTGACCCACCCCCTTTCCAGGCATGCTTGCTGCCACTTGGCACCATTGAGGCATTTTGCGTCATCACTGGCAATGTTAAAGGGAAACTCTGGACACCATAACGATTTCATCTCAATTAAGTTGTTATAGTGGCTGCAGTGCTACTTTACAATGTTGCTAATCATTTATCAGGGAAACCTCTCACACTTTTTATATAAATTTCAACACGTGGTACAGGCCAGAGTTATGACCATCAACCCGATTGACCAGCAGCCTACCAGTATTCCCCTGGCATCCCACCAGTATCCCCCGAACAGAGCAGGGTTTTAGGGTGTTTTAAGATAAACTCCAGCGGATCAATGAGTGGCTGCGTCCATCTGACAGGTCCGCTGGTCAGGCTCTGTTGGGGGTAACTGAGAACAGGCATTGAGTACCCCATTCTTTGGCATGTGTCAATAAAGGATGCTGTGGGTGTCTTCTTCATCTTAAACAAGAATGTATTTATGTAAGACTTTGGCTCACTCACCCCCTTTCACAATAAAACCTTATTTGGAGATATTTATTGAGGAACAGTGGGGGGTTTATATTATGCTATAAATATAAAATTCACGCTGGTTTAATTAGCTGACAAATTCCAGGCATGGTACATTTTATTCCTGTCTCACCCTAATTGTTGATATTCTTAATTGAACCCAAAATGTTAAAAGATACACAACACAGAGGACATTTAATATTACTTGATTAGAGTTTAGAAATATTTCTGCCCTCAAAGTTAGCCCACAAACTCAAAACTTACCACTGCCACATGATCCTAACTCTCAACCCCCACCCAGTGATCCTACACACTCTCACATTTACCCCCCTCCGTCCCCAGGTGATCCTAAAAATTCTCACATTAATCCCCCTTCAGGGATCCTACAATTTGTCACATTTACCCTCCTCTCCCCTCCCCCAGGTGAATCTACAGTCTCTCACATTTATCCCCCTCCTCCTCCAGGTGATCCTACAAATTCTCACATTAATCCCCCCCCCCGCACAGATCCTACAATCTGTCACAATTACCACCCCAAGGTGATCCTACAAATTCTCACATTAATCCCCTTTAGGGATCCTACAATTTGTCACATTTACCCCCCTCTCCCCTCCCCTAAGTGAATCTACAGTCTCTCACATTTATCCCCAAGGTGATCCTATTAACTGTCACATTTACCCCCCAAGGTGATACAATAATCTCTCACATTTTCCCCCCAGATGATCCTACAAGCTCACATTTACCCCCCTCACCCTTAGTTCCTACAAACTCTCACATTAACCCCCCAGGTGAACCTCCATTAACCCCCCTAAGTTATCCTACATCCCTCATTTCAATTTACTGCCCGGGCGATTGTAGAAACTCTCACTATAGTAACCCCAAAATGAGCTTACAAAATTTAACTTGCTTCTTGAATAGTTTTGCCAGATCTCAAAATAGCAGAACTACTGTTACCCATTATGTCTTCTGTTGGTCATATTTAAATTACAGAGATCTATATACTGTCACTTTAACAACATGCATCATTAGAAGTTGAATCGTTCCATATAATACAGGTGACTGTGCAGTTTTGAGATATTAATCCTGTTGCTGATGTGTTTTCTCTTTTCATAGCTCTGAAGAGGTCCTTTGACATAGAGGATGTAGATGATACACCTGTGTTCTCGCCAACTTCTTCACTCAGCTCTCCTTACAGCCCCAGCCAATCTAATGTCATTCGAGCAAGCAATGGAGAGAGACGAACCTCTTCTGGGTCCCACCAGCCTCTTTACCAGTCCCGTATCAGCATTAGTTCAAGCTGCAGTCCTGCACAAAGTCCTGTCCTCAAAACTCGAATCACCAGTAGTTTATCATTTAACCGTGGGACAATGCAAATGGCCAAAAGCAATGGAAACGCTAACCAAAGTCTTACCCGCGTCTCTTCTTTCCAAACACGACTCAACCCCAGTGGTTTTTCTTCTTCTGGGCATGGCAGTGACAGCGAGAGCCTACACAGTTCCACCTCCAGTTTAGAGTGCCCACCTGCCACTAAGCCTTTTCACCAGCTGCGTCCAACACCAACCACAGTAGGCCAACATGGATCTGGAATTACGGTATCCAATACATCCAGCCCTGTACTGAAGAAGTTCTCGTCTCATGGTAGTGTATTCCACTCTGAGATTGAACGCCCAGGGGTCCGTCTTGTTCCAGTAACAACCGATAACCACAGCTCTCTACCATCCTTGGACTTGCATATTGCGGAGGACAATGTTCCAGATCTTGTTCCTTCTCCAGATGCTGGATATCCCCCCTCAGAGGGCTGGAGTTCTCCTACCGACGCATATAAGAGGCCACTTTCCAGAAGCAGCAAGTCTGTTAGCAGGGAACCCTCATTTTCCTCATCATCAGCCTCCTCCTCACCACCAGCTGATACTCCCATCAATTGTACACCTTCCCCACCCCCTGTTTTTGGGCCTCTACAACCAGCCACACTCCAGAAATTCCCTGTCAGTTTCCAAGGCCCAGTAGGAAAATCTAATGGTCCCAGCTCTGATCAAATTAGTAGACCATTACCAAGGGCACAGCTAAGAGTCAACCTCAATGCAACACCTGGCCAAGCCCCTCCAGCCAACAGGGAGAAAGCTGAAGTACCATCCAGGGGTCACTTGCAAGTGGCATCTCTAGGTAGAGCCCCAACTGGTCCAGATTTTGCCTCTCAAATACCATCTTTTACTGGTAACCGTATGAGGTCTCAATCACTCCAACAAGAGTCTCTTCCAGAGCCAAGCCTTGACCAACCTGCCAAACAAACAGACACATCATCTTCCACCGATAGGCTTCGATCTATGATGCAGAGGGCCAACTCTTTCAATAAGACAGATAGTTCTTCCTTCCAAAGCCCATTCCTCCGAGAGAGTCAATCAAGTCAAAAGCCACTTGGTCACATAGCTGACTCAGCAAAAAACGGCCAAGAAACCCATGCCTATGGAAAGCCAACCCTCATTGCTAGGATGCACGGACATGGACCTTCAACACCTGTGTCCTGTAATCAGAACATCCAACTTAACAAGAAGGTCTTGGATGAATTCAGAAATGGGATTTCTCCGCTTAACCACTCAATACAGAAAGAACCCCAGAATAAAAGGTTAATGGGGATACAAGGAGGTGAATCCAACCAAGAGGCTCTTGTTCCATCAAGGTGTATGGAAGACCTGGGTGAAGTAAAGGCACACATTACAGATGTCCTAACTGAAGGTAAGAAAGTTAATTTGTTTTTTGTTTCTCTGGCAGATGTGGACATTTTAGGGAGTTTACTAACCAGACAGTAAACAGTTCTAGGAGCAAACTGGACATCCTGGAGTTATCTGGGCATAAAAGGCAGAAACAGCAGTCTATTAATCAGTTCAGATATTTCCTACAAAATTTATTCCATACTGCCTGGTCTACAAGAAACTGTAGATGTGTGTTATTTTAACACATATATATGGAGCGATTATCATCTTGCAGAGGGGGGTATAAATACAAAGTAAAGAAGTGATAAAGTGCAAGCTATGTTTTATCAGAATAAATGAAATAAACGTGATGCGTTTCCTGTAAATAGCTTCTCGGTTAGAAACAGGAACCTAGAATGACCCATTAGCGTATTTACATGTTTACAAATAGGTTTAATTCTCGAAATAAGAATTAAGGAGAACTGATAAAGGAATTGCACATAATAGACAAAAATAGACAAATGTTGAAAATAAATCTTTTACTCACCTATTACGCAACCTACTGGCTACTTTTATCTAAAATTTCCAGTTTTCTTATCATTTCCAAACATAAGTTTTCCGCTTAATGAAGATAAGGTTCATTCACTAAACAGTCAAATATGGGTGATCAATCTGCTAAATTTGTCCAAAAAATCCACGGTTGGTGATCAGCCACAACATTGCCACCACTGACAGACGAAATTAATAACATTGCTTATATCGTTACAATGGCACCTGTCAAGTGGTGGGATACATTAGGCAGCAAGTGAGCAGCCAGTTCTTTAATTTAATTGGTTGGGAGCAGGAAAAATGGGGCCCAAATAGTGATGGCTAGATGACTGGGTCTGAGCATCTCCAAAATGGCATATCTTGTGGGGTGTTCCCGGTATGCAGTGGTTAGTACCTACCAAAATTAGTGCCAGGAAGGACTACTGGTACACCAACATTTGGTTCATGGGCGCCCGAGGCTTATTGATGCATGTGGGTGAAGGCTAGCCCCTCTGGTCTCATTATAGAGAAGAACTAATGAATCTCATATTGCTCAAAAACTTAATACTGGCCATGATAGAAATGTGTTAGAAAAGAAAGTTCATCGCTGTTTGCTGTGTATCGGGCTGGGCAGCTACAGACTGGTCAAAGTGCCCATGATGACCAAAAGTGCCATCAATTATTATTATTATTATCATTTTATTATTTATATAGCGCCAACAAATTCCGTAGCGCTGTACAATGGCAATGGTGACATGAGCGTCAGAATTGGACCATGGAGTAATGGAAGATGGTTGCCAGGTCTAATCAATCACGTTTTCTTTTAGATCAGGTAGATGGCCAGGTGCGTTTGCATTTGGAAAAGATGGCAACAAGGAAGAAGGCAGGCTGGGGTAGGCATTGTTATGTTCAGGGGAATGTTCCACTAGGAAACCTTGGGTCCTGACATTTATGTGGATGTTACGTTGACAAGTACCACCTACCTAGAGATTGTTGCAGACCATGCACACCCCTTTCAAGGCAATGGTGTTCCCTGATGGCAGTGGCCTCTTTCAGCAGGATAATGCACCCTGACACACTGCAGAAATAGTTCAGGAATGGTTTGAGGAACATTACAACGAGTTCAAGGTATTGCCTTGGACTCCAAATTCCCCAGATCTCAATCCAATTGAGCTACAGTGGGATGTGTTCGAGCAACAAATCCGATCCATGGACATCCCACCTGGCAACTTGCAGGACTTAAAGGATCATTGTCAGATATCAGGACACATTCAGAGGTCTTGAGGAGTCCATGCCTCGACGCCCTAGAGCTGTTTTGGCAGTACAAGGGGGACCTACACCATATTAGGCATGGGTTTTTAATGTAGATGCTGATCATGTCTTCTGGTGTAAAGAATCCTATAAGGGTGTACGTTTAGAGATGTGCATATAATTTTATATTTATAAAAGGACCAATACATATTCTTCAGTGCTGTACAAACAATGCACCTTTCCTGGAATTCTCGGATACCCAGCATTCTATTAACCATTACTGTGGCCCAGTCTGTGGCCCCTGGATTTGCCAAATTTGGGAGACCTATTCTCGTTGGATTTTAGTCAAGGTTGTTTGCCGCTGTGATTTTATTTATTTTTTTGGCGTCTTTCGCTAGATTTACTGGAAAGCTCAGATTTCCTTTGCATTTCTGGAGTTCACATAACCTCAAAATGTGTCTCAGATTTACGGTCTGTCACTAGTGACCTCACCTCCCCTTTAATTTTGGGGTTTTATCCCCGATGTAGTTGTTTTAAATGAAGTCTAAGCGTGTGTTCACAGAGACTTTGCCAGAAATTGGGGGGCCCAGGCGATCAGGGCAGAGGGGCCAGTTAGCGTTATTTAAATATTACAGAAAGTAAATAATGCTGTTTAGATCAATGTATTAAGAGGAGCAAGGGGCTATAGATTGTTGGTGGGGAGATAATGCAGTCTCAACCTGTCTGTTTAGAAAACAGGAGTTGGACGTTCTCCTAGAATTTGGGAATAAAGTCACAGAAGGAGGGTAAGGTATTTATCAACTCCTCTGTCACCCCCCTCCCTTCTCCCTTCCATGCTTGGCACAAGAAGGCACCCCCTGCTTCACAGTGTCTTCTAGGGAACAATGGGGAAAATGTTCTGGGAGGAGGGGAACAGGGCTTAGTGCCAAGGTGCTTTTAAACTCATTTAGCTGAACTTCTACATTTTCATTTACCTGTGAAACAGATGTGTGCATACAGGGAGGCAGGAAGACGTGAGGCTTTATGAGACACTAGTGCACAACCGTGAATTCTGGCAGTAAGTAGGTTATTTTCACTGCTCGAGTGTTACAGGAGACAGGCGTCACTGGGGCTTACTCCCAAAATCAGGAATTGTGGAGTATTGCCAAGGAGGTTGGAGTTGTAGGCCAAAGAAATCTGAGCAAGAAATATAGCTGAATAGTTGGACAATATTTGCAGTTAAGTTATTTTGACTTGAAATAGCTCTTTGCCCTTTCTAAGGATACAAAAATATATATATTTAACATGCATTGGATTTCTGCACACTCACTTTGGCAATTAAGTGTTTAATTCAGAGAGTTAAAGGGTTTGTATTCACTTAATCAGCAAACTGTAACAAACTAAAAAACCATGCATAAACCAAAGTGTGTTTAAAATGCCAATCGTACAGGAGCCTGTAGGATTCATTTATAAAGAGCTACTTTAGGGCACTCTTCTAAAAGTGGAGCAGTGGGTATAAACGTTCCATTAGTTTCCACGGTGACTGCCCAAAAGTTAGCACTAAGTTTTGCACCATAGTGGTTCTTTATAAATAGCCCACTTAATGCTGTTATCACACTTGCAGCCTCCTATGAAATGCAAAGATTGTAAAATGATCATCTAACATATAATGAATGCTTTAACTCAGGACCTATTTACAGCCGCCCCTGGGGTAGGAGGTGTTGGGATAATTAATTACCTCTCCAGGACGGTTTACAAATGGGCACCTGTTATAACCAGAGGCTTCTTATCTGTTGTGAGTGATGGGTGTTTAATGGAATTAATTCGGCTTAGCTATTTTAGCTTCAGTTCTGCAATTCAGATCTCAGTTTGCTTCGATTGGCAGGATCATTCCCTAAACTGCAGATTTTAGGAAATTTAAGTCCAAAATACTAAATGGCATTGAAACCATTTTTTTCGGGAATACCAAATCTTGTCCTCGTTTTGCAACTTTTTTATCCTATTTGTGTGATTTCCTGTTCCACAATGATGGGCAGTTTATAAAAAAAAGTGCTGCCCTGTAGTATTTATCATTCAGATACAGCAGGGTTTCTTGTTCATCATTACTGATTTCCAACTTGCAGCATTTGAATGCTTCATACTACAGGATAGCATTTCCCGTGTGTTGTTCATCAATACGCATCTGATGCATTTGTCACAAATTAAAGTAAAAATTCTTCATTTTATTGATGAAGTATGTCTGTTGCGAAACGCGTAGATCGCGCAGACATTGCCAGATTTGATTAGGCAAGCGCTGGGGAATGCACATTCATATGGAATTAGATCTAGCTCTTTGTTTTTAATTCCCGAGTAAATAAAAGGATTTTTTTAATGATCAAATCAAGAACTGTCTTTAGCTCTGCTAACTAAACCCAGAAAGAGGGACTGACTGCCCATGGTGGTAATCCCCATAAAAAGAGAGGGAATGAAGATGTAACAACATTTGTAATAACTTTTTGCAGCATTGTGTAACCATGGATAGAGAGTCGCAACGTCAGCTGCTGGGCGACACTTTATACAATGAATTGAAAGAAAGATCGATCGTGGTTTACTGGATAGAAAGGTTGAACTTGATGGACACATGTCTCTTTTCAGCTTATTTAACTATGTAACTATTCATCTCATCCATGCTGTTGGAAAGCACATGAAAGTATTGCTTTGTTGTGTATAGCAACACTAAATTAATTTCTGATCAAGTATCCCACACAAAAACATAATTAAATGCCTTCCTTCCTGCAACATATGAATTCCACATACAACAAGGAGCCACTTTTCATGCCTTGCTCATCACACAAAGGGATCTGTGTCTCGGAAAACACAATCAGGTTTTATTTGAGGCCCTTTCTCTTTGAAGGGTGTCGCACTGCTGTGGGCTTTTAGACTAAGTGAGCCATGACTGGTTGTGTAGCAAATAGCATACAGGTCTGATTTTAAGTTTCCTCTCTTTATGAACGCTAGGGATTTGGGGACTGGTTTATTTAAGTGAAGGCCCCATCAGTCTATGCAGCTGTATAAACAATCTGCGTTGCCTATTGTATGTCACACCGCATACAATCACACGGCGCAGGTATTGTTCTGCCACCGCACAAAGCATTCTGGGGAATACCCAACACTGTTTGAACGTTAAAACTAAGCAAACGTCCCCTTTGACCCCTCTCATTCCTGCCATTCCACCTACCCAGCGAGAATAAATAAAATGAATATGATTACGCCAATTAGCAGGTTAAAGGTGATAGGTGCACTTTCCGTAGGAAAGACGAAAAGTGAAAGCCAACCCTTACCTGTATGCCAGCGCCAGCTGTTTCCAGGTGTATATTCAGCTTTCATTATTCTCTGTACTTCAAAGTCTCTGCCAAAGGAACAATAAAGTTAAAATATACAAAACCCTTTTTGCTTTGTAAATGCATTTCCTGATCACTCCACAGCATTGCACGTTTTTCCTGATCACACCTTAGACTGTAGGCGTGGAGTAGTGAAAGATATTTTTCACTTGAAAAGTACAGCCCTGCCCCGCACTGTAATCAATTCATATCCTACAAGATGGAAACAATTAATTAATCAAGGAACAACTGGAACCGAATTGTGTTGGTTATTCAGATCTCTCATGCAGCATATGAATACTGTATACTATAGGGCAATGCTATTTAGGTGCAGCACATTGGTGTGTGGGGTAATACCTATCCAGAAAAACAAAAATATTGAATAAGAGTGAATTGAAAATTAAAATATTTGAGATTTAGGTCAAAGCTTCTGAAATGTCCCATTCCTGTGTTTACCTAAAGGTTGGTAATTCTGCAATATTTAGTGAATATTCCCCATCCTGAGGGCTACCAGATGTACCGTGCTTTTCTATTTTGATGGTCATCACATGAAAAGTGCTGCCCGGCAGTACATGGCATTCAAATCAACTCATTGATCCGTGATGAATAATGCTGCATAGGAACACTACCTACTGCAGGGAAGCACTTTTCATGCACTGCCCATCAACACAAAGACATGGAATCTGTAGAGGAAAATATGGGGGAGCTGACATTTCTATGTATTCTGTGATCACCCTAACGACTGTAGGTCCAGACGTATTTGGGGGCCGCAAGATCCTCAACTACACAGACTGTTATAGCTCAGGCGATATTTCTGTAATATTATTAAGTGGATGGTGCGATCACTCTCATTTATCACACTCCCGTCTTTATCTTCTGTTAAGTGTGTGATAGATGAGGTGAGAAAATCACAAGCGGTAATGTGGAATTTAGGGAGTAGAACCAACAGAAATGTGAGAGAAACAAATAGGAGCGGTGGAGTAAAGGTTAGAGGATCCACCATTTATCCAAGTATCTACTTTTCTATATCTCTGCTATCATTTACTGCTTTCACCGGAAGGCTATTCCAGGTATCTACTATACTTTCTATATTATTATATTTATATAGCGCCATCAGATTCCGTAGCGCTGTACAACGGGTGGACTAACAGACATGTAATCACTGTTAGCCTTTACCGCTTCCACTGGAAGTCTATTCCATGTATCTACTACCATTTCTATATCACTGTTAGCCTTTACTGCTCCCACTGGAAGGCTATTCCAGGTATCTACTACCCTTTCTATGTCACTGTTAGCCTTTACTGCTCCCACTGGAAGGCTATTCCAGGTATCTACTACCCTTTCTATATCACTGTTATCTACTACTTATTATGTCAATTAGGAAAGGAGCTGTTAAGACTTATTTGAGGGATGACACCTAAGCAGACCGGTCAGACAGCTCAGGAAATAGTCAGACAGGTGAGAAAATGAGACGTCAGATGTGGCTTGTGGAAGCAGTGACAGCAGGTGTGCAGATAGGACAGACAGGTCCTGAGTAATGGACAATGAAATCATTCCAAAACCCGACGACAGGAAAAGTCCAGAAAAAGGTGATGTTTTACGGTGAACGCAACGATTGCGATATAAAGGAAAAACGTAAGGCACCTCTACCCTGGGATATCGCCAAAAAAGATAAAACGCAGGATCAGGTCCTTTCACTGACACCGAAGGACTCTTGATGATTAATTCCACCTTGATCTAGACGGATTTCATTTAAGCTGCAGATTAGTAATTTGGATGCAGAATGAAATCCCTGGAATTCACAAAGCATTGCCAGCTGGGAGGGTTAACCTTCGAGCAGCCAAAGGCAGAGCGGTAGCCAAAGCGTGCGAGCGAAACTGGCCGTGAAACTGCAACTTCTATTAATCTATCCACTGGCTGGCTGAGAGTCATGGTACGTGCAGAGATACCTGACTGGCTACCGGGTTTAATCATTATATTCATAATACTTAACCCCCAAGATTACTGTAAGGGTCCCAAACACTCGTACATTAAAATAATTACACTTTAAGTTAACCCTTGCAAGCCCAGTACTTAAAAAAAAAATAAAGAGAGAATATCCAAAAATCCACTTTTTTTCCTATAACTATTGATTTTAGGTAACACTTAAATACCCATAAAAAGTGGGAGTTTTATTTTAACCCTTGTTTGTCCATAACATTGGAATCTTTCCCCAGTAAGCCGCCTAAATCAGGACTGGCCCACTTGATCTGGGACATTTTGGTGGCATACATCTTTCAGTCCAAGCTGCAATTAAATTATTATTGGTGGCATTTATATAGCTCCAACATATTCCGTAGCGCTTTACAATTATAGAAAGGGGATTTAAAGAAATCGATGTACATCGTTAGGTCTCTTGTTATTCCTCCCAAAATGCTTCTGTACAGACGATGTCTCAAAAGCTGTATAAAATGTGTAATTTGTAAATGGCTCATAAAATATACATTGACTGTTTAATCATGAACACAATGCACATATTCAAGAAAAAACGATAAGATCTTTATAATATGCTAATACTGATCTAGTGAGAACTGGATTTAAGTTTCAAAAGCAACCAGTGATTTTCTAATACAAACAGGGCTATTCACATAACTGAGAATTCAGAGTGAATTTCAAATTTAAGGTCAAAATATTCAAACTGGAAACGCTTTATAAGTCAGCAATGCTTTCCATTTGACTACTCCGACCTTAAAGGGACACTGTAGTCACCTAAACAACTGTAGTTTAATGAAGCAGTTTTAGTGTATAGATCATGCCTCTCCGGTTTTATTGCCCAATAGTGATGTCCCGAAGTGTTCGCCGAACGGTTCGCCACGAACGGTTCACCACGGACTCATCATTGAGTAAACTTTGACCCTGTACCTCACAGTCAGCAGACACATTCCAGCCAATCAGCAGCAGACCCTCCCACCTCCTGGACAGCTCACTAAGAATGCAGCTTCACAATGAATGTAAAATGGATGCTGTCCAGGAGGTGGGAGGGTCTGGGAGGGAGGGTCTGCTGCTGATTGGCTGGAATGTGTCTGCTGACTATGAGGTACAGGGTCAAAGTTTACTCAATGATGAGTCTGTGGCGAACCGTTCGGCGAACAGTTCGGGACATCACTATTGCCCAATTCACTGCCATTTAGGAGTCAAATCACTTTGTTTCTGTTTATTCAGCCCTTGCCACAGCTCCCCTGGCTCGGATTGACAGAGCCTGCATGGAAAAAAAAAAAAAAAAAAACTGGTTTCACTTTCATTTAGATGTAATGTACCTTAAACAATTGTATCTCTTGCTCTGTAAATTGAACTCTAATCACATACAGGAGGCTCTTGCAGGGTCTAGCAAGCTATTAACCTAGCAGGCTATAAGAAAGTATAAATTAAACCGAACTTGCAATAAAGAAAGGATAAACTTTAGATGACTCTTTACAGGAAGTGTTTAAGAAGGCTGTGCAAGTCACATGCAGGGAGGTGTGACTAGGGTTAATAAACAAAGTGATTTAACTCCTAAATGGCAGAGGATTGAGCAGTGAGGCTGCAGGGGTATGAACTATACACCAAAACTGCTTAATTAAGCTAAAGTTGTTTTGGTGACTATAGTGTCCCTTTAAATTTAAAATGTACTTTGAATTCTCACCTTAGTGAATAACCCTCAAAGTAATTTGTCTCATGGTCAACTACGCGGTTGAGAGATTTTGAGAAAAGCTGGAGCTTCTGCCGTCAGATTTTGTCAATTCCTACAGCCTTCGCTAGCGGCCATCTTCTCGTCCATCGTGAGAGTTGGATCTGAAGGATGTTGCAGTCTCATGGAATCCTCAAAGAAAGATGGTGGCACCCGTGAGACAGAGCATTGAGTGAGTATATCTCCCCTAAGCTGCGCCCCTGGGTGCCAAAACCAAGCGGAGATAACACCATCCGGAGTCTTGGCAAAATATGTAGAGATCCCTTAAGGTGACAGAGCCGCTTTAATTCAGCCATTTTAACTTAAATTGTACAGTTACTTTGTCCATTCACAACAGTTTCCTCTGTTTATGGGACAAAAATTACGGAAGCAACGTCACTTAGCAAATCGCAGCTCAAATATTTCTTTACAGTGTTTAACTAAAGTTTAAATTGTTGTAAATTAAAGGTAAATATAAAATCTGTTTCAATTTAGCTAATAAGGCCTACAATACGAAATCCTGACATTTCCCACGTTAGTAAGTAATGCTGGTTGTGTTTCTGGCTGCGACTGCTTTTCAAGCGAGTTTTTGTTCCGTAGTTTCTGGATACCCGCTATTTGAATAACTCCTGATTTTACAAATTAACTCTCCATTTTGTCCTTTCTGATTCGTGCTAATAAAACGTCTACAGTGAACTTAAACCTTGGAAACCTAGTGCGTTCAGAGGCTCCAAATAAATGGATCTCAGTCTCTTCCCAAACAGTTTGAAGTCATTCACGTGTCATTAGGACACTCACGATGCTTTTAGAGCGCCCAATTAGGCTGTTAAAGGTCTGTTAATATATTGGTTTTAAGCGTATCCCTGTGAAAAAAGGATGTACCTTAATAGTAATAGCACCTTATCTAATTCACTCCTACGGTCTAATGTCTGCAGTCTTTAGGCCGTTTTACAGACGACAGACACTGAGAGAAGAAAAGAGCTACGGGAGCCACAGAGGGAAACCTATAAAGATCAGTTAATAATCATTAACATAAAATCCATAAACGCGTGTATATGGCCTGGCCGTCCCCCTTGATGCAATAGTGAGAGCATTATGTCAGCGACCCATAGCTGGACGCATACCTGGGAGCCACCGATCCACAGAATTCCCACGCGTTATAATTCCAGTCATGTTATTAAAATTTAATCTGGGAAGAACCTATCTTCCCTTGGCTATTTTTTGCATTTCATTTTTAAGGATCTATTGCCTTTCCCTCTGGCAAGGAAAGGGTTAAAGATAAATGATACTTTCAGTAAAATAATAATTTGCAGTGTAGTTATAGTCTGTCCCCCTATCTCATGTCTACCCCACCCACCCAAATAATTGTTCTTTTATTTTTTTTTATTTTTTTTAAAAGGCTATTTATATTTGCATTTCAGTGTGTGACAGACATTACGGTGAGCCTTTCATGTTAAAAGTGCTTTGTTTAACTTCTTTAACTATTAGACCAACTTTGTAGCGCTAAATATAAAGTAACACAAACTTATAAAAATTAAATACTTACATAATTTTTTTATTTTTTTTTAATCCATCAATTTTAAAAAGTCTAAAAGCAGATGAAAAGACATTAAGGGGTTTACACAAAGCAAAATGAGATGATTAGCTCGTAACAATGTATACATGCGATGAAATAGTTATACGGAATTTATTTTATCTAAATATAGTCATCTTCTTATATAGATGCTTAAAGCTATGAAATTACTTCTTTGACACTTGAAACGAGGATGTAAATTGGTTCTATCACTTTCTAACATTTTATGAATATTTATGAAATATTGATACTAATTGCATTTAAATTTCACTGAAAAAAGTTACCATAAGGCAAGCTAGGAGCCATTTTGTCTTATGCTAAATCTGAGGTTGACAAGAGACGGAGCTTCACCCTCAACTGTTGTCCAATCCCAGCAGCCATCAAAATTGACGGCTGTGGGATTCAGACATCTATCTATGGTCTCACGGGATCCTCTGTAGAGCTCAGTGTTACTCTTTGTGCATGCGCGAGATTACAGCAATGACTAAGCTCCTGGCAAATGAAGCGCCTAAGGAGCCTAAGAGGACAGCAGGATGAAGGTGGTGGCAGCCCTGAAGGACAGCTTAAGGTAAGTAAAACTAACCTCCCTTGCACCCCGCGACCACCGGACCCCCAACAAATCTGTCACTTTCGCGTTTTTTTACAAAGACCCCCAAAAGTGAGAGATCCGCTTTAAATCACAACCATAAGAATTTTATTATTTTGACTGTCTAGAAATGTATTACATTTGTCACGCAAAGAATCTTTCTAAATATTTCCATGTGTTTAACATAAAACACACTCTATTCTTAGTCATGGGGTAATTTATAAATCCCTCTGCTGTAGTCCACTATAAAACCAAGATGGCTGCTCACTGAACCATTTTATTCTGACATATACAAATTCTACCCACATCAAAAAGGCCTGAGGCTGGAGAAATACTACATGAATGTAATTATACTCTGAATAGTCAGTCTCCTAACGATGCATTTAAAAAATATATATAATTATACATTTTAATAATAGTATTTTCTAAGAACTACATGAGTTTTTTATTTTTTTTATTTTAAATCAGTTTGCCTCAGATGACCTTCCTTCAGTAGAGCAGAACTACAGCAAAATTTCCAACTCAGCTACTGGTATAACTCTGCTGTTTTGGAGGGCATGAAAAATTCAGTGTTATTTACTAAATAGTGCATTTTATGAATTCTGCTATTAAATTAACGCTCCAAACACCATAACCACTACACCTTGCAGACGTTTTAGAACAGTCTGGCTTCTTACCTGGATCTGCGGAATACCACTCCCTGCCTCCACTACAGGAGCACTGAACGTTCCTGCTTAGGTGTTTCTGTTAGCTCTCCTAAACTGAGCCCGACATTGCAAGGCCAGGCCATTGGCTGATAGTCAGCTTGGCACCATAACCACTGCATAGCGCTTGGAGTGTTCCTTTAAGGTTTAGTTCCCCTTAACTCACTGCTTAGTGAATATGTCCTTTTGAAGAGGATATTAAAATGATTCACTACTTACATACTGGAGGAGGGGGGTTATTCGGTGACCAGTGAATAATAGCCGTGTTTGGACAGCTGGCTAGTAAACCTACGTCAAGTTAAAAAAAAATCCCCCAATTGTGCACTAAATTATTAATAATTGTAAACTGTATCTGTGAGGGGTATATTTAATAAACCAGAGATTGAGAGAAACTGACAAGGCCAGAATAGACAAAACTGGAATTATTCACCCAGTCTGTGAAGTTGCAGTCGTACATCTGCTAAAACAAACCCCCATCTCTTATTACCAAATGAATAAACAGTCTGGCTCAGTCTGTGAATGACATGTAGTGCCATACTGCCCCCTAGTGTTTAGAGAGAGGCATCTGTTCAGTCACTGTCACTCTAGATGTTTAAGTCCCTTATTGTCCTATAAGACACTCGTAGTGTTTTTATTCCACTATCTGTATACTCCACGGACTCTGTTTCTGAGATTCACTGGGTCTAAAAACAGACGTTTTGGGAATCAAGCCAAGACTGAGATAGACCGCTGCGGGAAGAACATCTGGAACTCGGTGAGAGACCCATCTAAGATGAGATGAGACATCTTCTGGAATGCCCCCGATAGGCTTCCCCCCTCCTTACAGTACAGAGTGACGGGACAGACAGAGCTCAGCTGCATATTATGATCTCTCGATTTCGTTTGGTGTCATTCTCCGCATTATATCATTTTCACTCAGAGATAGTTGGATGTTCCCGTTTGTTTTTAGCAAAATTCAAAAATTATATGATGCAGAAACCGTATTTTTTTTTTTGCTAGTAATATAAACTATCTGGTTGGTTGCATCCTAATTTACATGATATTTGGAAACACCCTGCCCCTGCTGAACTTACCTGTACCTAAGTGATGTCATCTGAGACTCCTATTCTACATTCTTTATACCCCTCTAATTTCTACAATATAATATACCGTTTTATATATGTATCTTTCTTTATCTGTGGTGTATCACAAAAAGGTTTGAGAACACTGGCGTGATACAAGTTTTACATCATTTTTAAGGGACAAATTAGGCACCATAATCACTACAGCTCATTGTAAGGGTTAAGGACTAAAACAGGGATAGGCAACCTTCGGCACTCCAGATGTTGTGGACTACATATCTCATAATGCTCTTACACCCATAATGCTGGCAAAGTATCATGGGAGGTGTAGTCAAAAACAACTGGAGTACCGAAGGTTGCCTATGCCTGGACTAAAAGATCGCTATTAAAATATTTTGACAAAAATTGGGGCTGCCGTTGCCTCGAGAAACATTTAGCATTACCCCAGCCACGGCAGGGGTACTAACTTTAGGATATAAATGGATATATATACGTCATATGCTAATTTAAGTAGCTAATGACATGCACTCAAAAATTCGATTTGAAATAAAGCAGAAACTGCCACTCACTTCCATTATGAAACCCAAATCCACTAAAAGTCTGGAACGTGTAAAACACAATGTAAGAACACTAACCACAGTCTGACAGTGTGCTAGATGTTCTCAGAGTTCATTTGTATGGTATCTAATTAACCAATATCTTGTAACGGTTGTGTCCAAGACAAGCAAGTAATTTGAAGGAACATTGCCATCAAAAACCTCAAAATTAAAGACCTTGTTCATTTGAGACACAGATCTGCAAAACCAGTGATTAACTGCCCTAAAATAGAAGGTCGGCTAAGTGCTACAAACTAAATGCTATAGCCTTATCTCTGGGGAGAAGATTACGGAAAGCTAACCTATGCAGAATAATTGCTGCAAATTAGACATTGTTTAGGGTGAAATAAGACAAAACTACTTGGCTAGTTTAATGTGCTCAGAACTTGGACGAATTGAAAGTTGGAAAATATTTGATCTCCGTCGCCAAGTATTTTTGAAATTAAAAGGGAACTCCTGACGCCTGTAAGTGTATCTCCGTACGGCCGAACACTGGAGTTAAGAAACTGAGAAGGGCGAGTGTGCCATGCATACGTCATCTTACATCTTTTAGATTGTAAGCTCTTCATCTACAGTTCCAGTATGTTTTATTAGAATTCAATATTTGTCTTGTTTACCTATTGTACGTGGAATATGTTGGCGCTATGTAAACAATTGTAATTGTACATGTGCGTCAGATTGACAGACAGCCCTGACAACCAACCGCGGCTGTCCATGCGCGTCCAGCTACGAACGCACTGTGAAATGAGTTGAAGTGCCCTGCGTCTGCCTTGTGTAGGGGTCCCAAATTAAAACTGTCACTCTGGATCCAGGAAATGTAGGAGCTGTGATCATGCCGTGCTTGAACTTCTGTGCCGTCTCGCATTTCTCAAATACTTTGCTGGTATTTATATAATTGCGTGCACATGATGTCAGACTATGTCATTAGATGGGTGAAATGACAACCACTCTCATTTTTCACCAGAACGCTGCCTGTCATTCTTCTTGTTGAAGCAAGTCAACACACACCATGTGATATTTCACATATTTAATCCAAGAGTATGGCTTGCAAGCGTCTTGGGAGCAGTATTTTTGAAACAGCTGGGGGTCTTATGCTTGCTCTGATCTAACGTGATTGAAAGCGAATTTTCGTAGTTATTCACTTATAATGAGTCTATGGTAAGGTAACGTCATATTGTGTGCTTGATCTGTAAATTGGCCAGAGCTAAAATTTTCCATTAGGCAGAACATCTGGAAGCTGAATTTGTACACTCCTTTCCCCCCCATACCCAGCCTTGGCTGCTCTGTTAATCTGTCTGTCAGTTCCAGGTTAAGGTCTGATCATCCTCTAATTAAGGTGGTGGGGGGGGTAGGGGGGGAGTCTAGCAGATGTATAGGCAGTCAACAAAAACAGTCTTGGCTACTTCATCTAATGCTCGGCAAAACCCTGAATCCTGCACTACTAAGACAGGCCTGTTACTGAGCTCCCAATTACTGTGCTGTTACTGCACTCCCTGTTACTGGCCTGGAAGTACTACACTCCCAGCATACCTCCCAAGTGTCCTGATTTAGTACTATTTTGACCCAAATCTGTCTGTCCCTCTTTCCTATCCTAATGTCCCTATTTTCTTTGCTGTGTCTGAGTGTATAACAGAGCTCCACAGCAATAATACTCCCAGTAATGTGTCTGAGTGTATAACAGAGCTCCACAGCAATAATACTCCCAATAATGTGTCTGAGTGTATAACAGAGCTCCACAGTAATAATACTCACAGTAATGTGTCTGAGTGTATAACAGAGCTCCACAGCAATAATACTCCCAGTAATGTGTCTGAGTGTGAAACAGAGCTCCACAGCAATAATACTCCCAGTAATGTGTCTGGGTGTATAACAGAGCTCCACAGCAATAATACTCCCAGTAATGTGTCTGAGTGTATAACAGAGCTCCACAGCAATAATACTCCCAGTAATGTGTCTGAGTGTATAACAGAGCTCCACAGCAATAATACTCCCAGTAATGTGTCTGAGTGTATAACAGAGCTCCACAGCAATAATACTCCCAGTAATGTCTGAGTGTATAACAGAGCTCCACAGCAATAATACTCCCAGTAATGTGTCTGAGTGTATAACAGAGCTCCACAGCAATAATACTCCCAGTAATGTGTCTGAGTGTATAACAGAGCTCCACAGCAATAATACTCCCAGCAATGCTGTCCAGTAATGTGTCTGAGTGATAACAGAGCTCCACAGCAATAATACTCCCAGTAATGTGTCTGAGTGTATAACAGAGCTCCACAGCAATAATACTCCCAGTAATGTGTCTGAGTGTATAACAGAGCTCCACAGCAATAATACTCCCAGTAATGTGTCTGAGTGTATAACAGAGCTCCACAGCAATAATACTCCCAGTAATGTGTCTGAGTGTATAACAGAGCTCCACAGCAATAATACTCCCAGTAATGTGTCTGAGTGTATAACAGAGCTCCACAGCAATAATACTCCCAGTAATGTGTCTGAGTGTATAACAGAGCTCCACAGCAATAATACTCCCAGTAATGTGTCTGAGTGTATAACAGAGCTCCACAGCAATAATACTCCCAGTAATGTGTCTGAGTGTATAACAGAGCTCCACAGCAATAATACTCCCAGTAATGCGTCTGAGTGTATAACAGAGCTCCACAGCAATAATACTCCCAGTAATGTGTCTGAGTGTATAACAGAGCTCCACAGCAATAATACTCCCAGTAATGTGTCTGAGTGTATAACAGAGCTCCACAGCAATAATACTCCCAGTAATGTGTCTGAGTGTATAACAGAGCTCCACAGCAATAATACTCCCAGTAATGTGTCTGAGTGTATAACAGAGCTCCCCAGCAATAATACTCCCAGTAATGTGTCTGAGTGTATAACAGAGCCCCCCAGCAATAATACTCCCAGTAATGTGTCTGAGTGTATAACAGAGCTCCACAGCAATAATACTCCCAGTAATGTGTCTGAGTGTATAACAGAGCTCCACAGCAATAATACTCCCAGTAATGTGTCTGAGTGTATAACAGAGTTCCACTGCAATAATACTCCCAGTAATGTGTCTGAGTGTATAACAGAGCTCCACAGCAATAATACTCCCAGTAATGTGTCTGAGTGTATAACAGAGCTCCACAGCAATAATACTCCCAGTAATGTGTCTGTGTGTATAACAGAGCTCCACAGCAATAATACTCCCAGTAATGTGTCTGAGTGTATAACAGAGCTCCACAGCAATAATACTCCCAGTAATGTGTCTGAGTGTATAACAGAGCTCCACAGCAATAATACTCCCAGTAATGTGTCTGAGTGTATAACAGAGCTCCACAGCAATAATACTCCCAGTAATGTGTCTGAGTGTATAACAGAGCTCTACAGCAATAATACTCCCAGTAATGTGTCTGAGTGTAAAACAGAGCTCCGCAGTAATAATACTACCAGTAATGTGTCTGAGTGTATAACAGAGCTCTACAGCAATAATACTCCCAGTAATGTGTCTGAGTGTATAACAGAGCTCCACAGCAATAATACTCCCAGTAATGTGTCTGAGTGTATAACAGAGCTCCACAGCAATAATACTCACAGTAACGTGTCTTTAAACTAAAATAAATGTGTTTAGAAGACACATTGTTCTTGTTCTAAATTACATTTTAGTTGTACAAATTGTTATTAGTAAGTCACATAAAATTTCTCAACAGCCCCGCCCCTGGCCATACCCACACACACACACAGCCCTAGAATAAAAGTTTCCCTCTTTGTCCATGAAATATTAGTACTGACTCCTAGCGACGAGCCTATTAATTCTGTTAGAGCTAGTGATAGTCCCAAACCTTCTACTAAGCTCCCAAGTGTCCCCTTTTAGGAAGGACAGTCCCAATATCGCCTTGTCCTCGCCTGGTGTTTCTCTTTTGCAGGTACTCACAACTTTGGTGTGAGAGTTTTACAATTACAATAATTTACAACATATTCTGCAGCGCTGTAACAAAAGGTAAACAAAACAAACCGTAAATTCTAACAAAACATGATTGACATAAAACAGTAGGTAATGAGGGCCGTGCCCAAACTCCCCTACAATCTGTAAGTTTTAAAGAAAATAAATATCTCTCAGTAACATGAGTCTGATTGGCATACACACCAGGCTGAGCTGTCAATCTTTGGGCAGATCCGATATCTCTATATGCAAATATTGGAGCATGTCTAAAGAACATGTTGTACACAACGCATTTACATCAGCCTGACCGTGGCTTGGAGTCAAAGTTTCATTTGTTATTTCTGGACAAAATTAATGGAAATAGGGCTTCAATAAACACAACGTTTGTAGTCTATAAATGGTGGGTGGATTTCTCTCCAACAAATCTCAGCCAGCCCAGATGTTTTGGGAAGTTAGCTGAGATTTGTGGGTTTGGTGATATGGATTACAAATGTCGCCATCGAGTTCCCAGTATTTAAGAAGCTCTGAGGTGGCAATGCATTTAAACATTTTTTTTTTTTTTAAAACAGTGACATTGATGTGCATAACTGGCACATTTTATATTATAATTACAAATATTTATACAGCGCCAACATATTCCGCAGCGCTGTACAATATGTAAACAAGATAAAAACTGAATTCTAACAAAACACGTTTGACATTCAGCAACAGGAGGTAAAGAAGACACTGCGCCAAAAGAGCTTACAATCTTATTTGACGCTGCTAGGGTTTAACTGGAGTTATAGGGGGACACAGGGTTTGGGGGGGTTTGAGGTTAGTGTCAGGGGTGGTTAGCATTCTGTAGGTCTGTTGTTTATATAGATCAATGCTGCTCAGACTAAGCATCACCTTATTTAACTCTGCAACTGGTGACACAGCCCTGGTGCAGAGCTCGAAGGAAGCTCTGCAAACCATCAAAGGCTGTGGTGCGTTTTTCATGAATGGGGGGAGAGGTCGGAGGTCAAGGAGGGTGTGAGGACCAACTTCCTGGAACAAGAGTATGGGTGTGAGTGGGATAATGAGACAGAACTGGAGAGAAGTAAACAGAGAGAAAGGGAGGAGGGTAACCAGCTCTGGGGGGGGGTAGGGAAGATAAAATACTGTAAAATATTAAGGAGTGGTGTTAACCCTTTCTGGGAGCCGTAGTTATTTATTAACTCAGAAAATACCAGCAACACCTGCACTGTGAAATGTGGCCCCGAACCCCTTTTTTGGCTTTTTTGGCCCAAGATTTAGAATTTCGTTATCAAATCTTAGTCTTACTTTGGCAAAGTTTCAGTTTATTGCAATTCATAGAATCAGAATATTTAAGGGTTAAATCATGTAACAAATAGAATTCCCCCCTTTAAAATATCTTAACTTTTAATAAAATGCCACTTTGTGTTTGAATTAAAAAAAAAAAAAAAATTCTAAAAAATATATATGAAAATATCCAACATTCGAATATAAAAGAGTCAGGAATTTTTTTTCCAATTCAGCTATTCTGGCTAAGATTTAGTAACTTTGTTTTTCATATTCACCACAATTTGGAGTTTAATTATTAATCCCCAAAATGGATAATTTTATAAGCAACTGAGGTTAGTCTTATTGTTTGACTCTTTGACGTGTTAAAACACTGCATTCTAAACTCAATTTAAAGAGACTGCTAAAACATAATTTATAATTACAATCTATTTCAGACTGCATGTTTTAGTTTGTTTTTGTTCTGTTTATGCATTAGTCCTTTTATTATGTCTCCTGGTCATAAAAGAGGAATGTAGAAAAAAGCAAAACCTTGAGCCAGATTGAATGCAGAAGAATTACCCCTAGAAAGCAGTGGTGGTATGGTGCGTCTGGACAAATTAAATATTAGCGCAGCGGCGAGCAGACAGGACCGTACTATTGTTTTGCAGATTCTGTGTTTGCTCAAGCCTGTGGGAAAATGGGATGAAACGTTTCTTAGAGAAGAGAAGCAGTTGTACGTCTCTCACCCGTCCTCTGGAAAACAGACTGAGTGTATATTTTTTTGACAGAGAAATTTAAACATGGCTGTCATCTGGTTTTCTAAAGAATACTGCGTGCCAATACGCACCATCGCTACTTTGAAGAAAAAAAAATAGTGTGCTTTATTTTCAGATACAATCTTATAGACCGCTAAGGGTTGACCGGGCTCCAAGTGATTTTACAACCTCCGTTGTGTATGAGTTTGGAATCTTTCAGGTCAGCATCTATCATGTACTGACCAGCAGCATGAAGATTGGATTTGACCCACCCCATTATTAAAATAGGTTTTTTTGTTTTTGTTTTTTAAATGTCACCTTTAAAATGTTGGTATAATAATATCTTCCTCTCAAAATTAGCGATATTTTTAATTTTGCAAACAGTTACAAACTAATAGACAACCATAGACACAATAACACATATACATAGACACAAAAACACAGTTGTGAAGCCACTACCCTGTTTATTTCGCTAAATTGGATTTTTCTCGTTTGGTAGATAAATCCCCTGGCTCATAGGTAGCGTTTGTTCCCTATTTCGTGGGAACAAAACTACTGAATAGCGCTCTCTTGGTTGGTTGGTGAAAGGAAGCAGGTATTCGCAAAGTTTGACCGGCATTCGTGAAGTCGAGTGTCCGATTTTAGTTCCAGACACTAGATAAATCTACTGAACACCGACCACCCCCCTGGCACATTAACTACAAAGGAAACCGCAAGATTAAGTGCTCTCCCTGTGTGGCCACCGTTCGTATAGTCGAACGCCACGTGCAGGAGAAAATGGCGGCCATCTTGTTCGCACGAAAGGAGGCAGCGGGACTTGGTTGTCGAGTGTCTGGAACTAAAATCAGACACTCGACTTCACGAACGCCAGTCAAACTTTGCGAATACCTGCTTCATTTCACCAACCAGCCAGGAGAGCGCTATTCAGTAGTTTTGTTCCCACGAAATAGGGAACAAACGCTACCTATGAGCCAGGGGTACCGTTCGTGGATTTGTTTGGTTTTTAGACTTTTCAAAATAGACCAACCGCACAACCTAATCTCATGGAACTATTTCTGGGCAGGAGCCTGGTGCGAGGTCGGTCAAAATGAGACTTTCATGAAACTCTTGAACCCCTGATCTGATCTGGGTGTTTTTTGAATATGTTGGTCCCCCAGATCAGGGCTATCAGGGGACATAACTTGTGTGGGGTTTCTAGGGAGTTTGGGGTACTTTCTGAGTTCTGTGAAAATGTGCATCTAATGTGTGTGGGAGCCTGGAGTGTCCCTTTAATGTTTCAAATTTGGCAGACTAGATGGAACAAATGATTTCATGTGGCCTTTATAATACATGTTCTGTACAGCTATGTAAGACAAACAACATACACTCTCTGCAGTTAATTTTCCAAGGAAACAGGAAGCTAACATGCTGTGTGTTTTACATTTAATACAACTGCTTTCAAACCATACACCCTCTGCAGAACACAGACAATGAGGGCGACTTCCATCATTATTCTTCATTATACATGGGTAAAACGTGGTACCCTGCCCTGCATTCTCTTATTACACCTGTAGGTGTCACTATATTTCCAGTTTTCCAGGCTTTTTTTAGCATTGCAATGACAAAGGGACATTATCATGAAAATAGTAAAAATAAAATACTGTACTTGTTATTTGGGATTTGTTTTTGTTTTTGTAACGTTAGTAAGAAGGTATTTTATTATTGGATCTTTTTTAGTGTTGATTTGTACAAAGTTAAAACCAAATGTTCTGATGTGGGTTGGTTGGTTTATGCACATATCTAAATATGTAGAGTTAAAAAAATGGCATTCAATAAGTTATGCAAATATCTGTATTGTTATAAAAACATTGTCATGCCATATCTGGGTTCCTTCACTAGAAAAGCTTTTTTCTTCACAATTGTCCAGAGAATTTTAAAGGAAGTTTATGCCACAATAGTCAAGATTCAACAACTCATCTACAGTTGCAAGAAAAAGTACACATGGTGTGTTTAATAAAAACATGGCAACATTTCATTCTTTGTGTGTTATTAGTTTAAGCAGATTGTGATTGTCTATTGTTGTGACTTAGATGATGATCAGATCACATTTTATGACCAATTTGTGCAGAAATCTATATCATTCCAAAGGGTTCACATACTTTTTCTTGCAACTGTATAATTCCAGCTCAGCAATATAGACCAAAAATAAGCAATTCTTTGAATAAACTCCTATAGATGCATCACTTAAATTTAATTGACTGAAAATAGAGCTGTTTTGAGCCAACAACACCATGCATAATTAAAGGGACACTATAGGCACCCAGACCTCATCAGATCATTAATAGATCTTTGAGTTCAGCTCATGAAAAATGGGGGCAAAAACAAAAGTGTTGCATTTATAATTTTGTTCAGTGTAGTTTCCCTTTGAGGCTAAAGAGCAAAAAAAGTTTGGAGTTTTCTTCTACAATGGTATTTTGTCCTACAGTTGGTACGGAATGGGGTTATACAAATAACTGGAATTTGCGCAGAATTGAAAAATAAACTCTAAACTCGGCTCAAATTGGAAGAAATAATTGTTACTTTTAGCTGCTATTATATGTGTTGTATATATTATAACAAGCATTTATAAAGCACCAACATATTCTGCAGCGCTGTACAGTTGGGGAAAAAGAGAGTACAATATAGCAAGATCAATACAAAGGGTAAAGTATACCCTACCCGTGAGCTGAGATCCAGCAATTAAAGCTCTCTATACAGAGTGCTTTGCTAGATATCCAGTGATCTTACAATCTAGACGTTAAAATAGGGGGTGAAATTTCGACTATATAGCACACGAGAATTAAAGGATAATATGGCTTCCAAAGTGCAGTTTGTGATTCCCAGTCTAGTGTTCAGATTTTGGGTGGCCAGAGACAACTTTAATCAGGTTATCTGTTTTAATGCTGCCATAATAGTTTGTCTTTTCTTACTTTAAAACTTTGAAAAAGAATGAAATGGTGAATATGAAAGCGGAAATGTTTAATGGTAGTGCTTGCTGTTTAATCTCACTGGGTTCGCTCCCCCTGGGAGCTAAGAGCTATCACCCACTCCAAAGGATGTTTGTCTTAAAATATGTCTTATCTTAATCTCACGATAAGGCTCTCTGAAGTCTTCTCAGATCACTAAGTGAGAGCATTGAATAAACTGCTATTTTATGTCATATTGTTTGTGGAGGAATTACAGCCTTTACTGTAAATCGAAATGTTACCCCTTTTATCTGACAGACAAAGTTAGGAGATTAGAGGGAGTAAAACATGCTTTTCGGAGGTACACCTGGTTTATTCAATAAATGATGAATCGCATTAAATTGAAGAGTGAATTGCAAGATTTAGGGAACAATATTCAATTTGGTTCATTTAGCCTGAGCTTAGCAATTCTGTTTTCAGGTCCCTACAATCAGGGTTTAGTAAATAAACCGTTATTTGACATTTAGGAATTGTGGGGATTTGCAGGATTTTAGGTCAAATGAGCAGAACTTGAAAAATTCTCCAACTGTTATCAAGGTTGATTATTTTAGCCTTAAATTTCCAATTTCCTCTTCAATTATCCACTATTTCTGTTTTGGGGGAATAAAAATAATTCCTCTTTTTCCTCAGTCCCCGTGTCACCTATCTCACTCGAGCAGTCCCTAATTTTCTGAAAAGAATAATGCTATATGTTATTTAAATAGTAGAAAGCATCCACATGTGATAACAAGGGTTTTGGCAGCTTATCTTGATCCAGGAAGTCAAGAAAGTTTGGAGTCAAGAAATATTCACCTATTTTTTGTGGCCGAAATAGAAATCAATTTGAGTTGAGTCGTTTTATTTGTTTTCGAATAAGTATATAAGTATATTAATATGTGATTATGTAATTATTCTGACATACCTAATTCATAGTTAATAACATGGGCCAAAGAATGGAGACCGTTTGCCTGATTTCTCTTATTCTGTGATACACTATCATGAAATCCATCATACACTGACAGTGCCCAGTTCTCCATGACAGAAATACAGTTATACATTTCTGCCTTTTCTCCAGAATCCGATATTTTCCCAAACCAAGTCTGTCCTCCCCCACACTACTTATTTATACAAGAGAAGGCCTCTGTAACGTGTTAGTGCTTTCTGAGTCAATAAATCTTCCTTCAATTCAAGATGTCCCCAGCCGAAGCCAACTGGTTTCGATGGGATTTGAAACAATTTGACCATCTAAGGAATCATTTGCTCTGTCAAATGTCTGCACTAAAGCAATTATGTAATTTCTGGAGATTCTTTAGGTCCCATACTATTTTTAGGAAGATGTGCCATGGTTGTGAGCTTCTGTGATGTTCTATGTCACAATTGGCACACAGCGGTTAGATGCACTGCCTTGTTATTAAGTGTAAAACCTGCGTTTCCACGTGTTCTTACATATGCCAAATGGCACTCCGTTATACTACAGAGTTTGTACTGTGTAAATGAGGTCACATTGAACGGTGGAGCTTGGCATATTCACATTGCCCTCCTTTGTAATTATTAAAGTCCTTAAACTTGCCTTTATTCCAGCACAGAGACAGACTCCTTGTGGCTGCCGATCCTCCTCCAGTGAAGTCATCAGTCATTATGCCTTTTGTCCAATCAGATGCTGATTTGTCAAATCACATGGTGCATGCGCAGCAATCTAATACTTCTCTTTGATGCACACATACGTTTTTATGGACATCAAACAATTACGGAATCTGTTCATCCGACAGCCTCGAGTAGGCAAGAAAACAACAAAAAAATGTATTCTTATTTATTATTTTTATTAACTTGAAGATTTATTGAAGATTTCCAATAAGTATATTAAAGGACCACTCTAGGCACCCAGACCACTTCAGCTTAATGAAGTGGTCTGGGTGCCAGGTCCTTCTAGGGTTAACCCATTCTTTCATAATTATAGCAGTTTCAGAGAAACTGCTATAATTATGAATGGGTTAAGCCTTCCCCCTAATCCTCTAGTGGCTGTCTCATTGACAGCCACTAGAGGCGCTTGCGTGCTTCTCACTGTGATTTTCACAGTGAGAGCACGCAAGCGTCCATAGGAAAGCATTGTAAATGCTTTCCTATGCGACGGGCTGAATGCGCGCGCAGCTCTTGCGCGCGTGCGCATTCATCCGGCGGGGCGATCGGAGGCGGAGAGGAGGAGGAGAGCTCTCCGCCCAGCGCTGGAAAAAGGTAAGTTATTACCCCTTTCCCCCTTCCAGAGCCGGGCGGGAGGGGGTCCCTGAGGGTGGGGGCACCCTCAGGGCACTATAGTGCCAGGAAAACGAGTATGTTTTCCTGGCACTATAGTGGTCCTTTAATAGAAATAAATCAAGAAAAGTACATATTATTACTTGTGTTAACACAATCTGTGTAATATATACAATCCAGACTCCCGAGAGCTAAACATAGCCGAGGTTTTATTTCACATGTGAGCCCAGTAAAGACTATTTTAAAACCAACTAAAGCGTTGCAGATGTCACCCCAGTAGCTGTTACCTCGCCCTGAATTCATTACAATGTCTGTGAAGTGTTCGACATGGAGGCCGCGCTGGCACAGCAAAAATTATTTGGAACAGGTAGGATCGAACAATATTCATGGCGTTATTCGCTAAAACGAAAATTATACAGAACTGAAATCTGAGTGGCAAAATTTATCCTGAAATAGCCAAGCTGTGCTGAGCTGGAGAATTTTTCCAGCTATTTTTTTTGTTTCTAAATTAGCTTTTTGATTTCAGTTTGGTATAAGGAATAACATACATCCCAAGTGTCCCTATTTAGCAGTGACAGTCCCTATTTTGAGCCCAAATCCCTCTGTCCCTCTCACCCATCCTAATGTCCCCCTTTTCTAAGAGCTTCATGTTGTTGGTGTGTCTGAGTGTATAACAGAGCTCCACATCAATAATACTCTCAGTAATGTGTCTGAGTGTATAACAGAGCTCCACATCAATAATACTCCCAGTAATGTGTCTGAGTGTATAACAGAGCTCCCCAGCAATAATACTCCCAGTAATGTGTCTGAGTTTATAACAGAGCTCCACAGCAATAATACTCCCAGTAATGTGTCTGAGTGTATAACAGAGCTCCACAGTATTAATACTCCCAGTAATGTATCTGAGTGTATAACAGAGCTCCACGGCAATAATACTCCCAGTAATGTGTCTGAGTGTATAACAGAACTCCACAGCAATAATACTCCCAGTAATGTGTCTGAATGTATAACAGAGCTCCACAGCAATAATACCCCCAGTAACGTGTCTTTAAAGTGTTTCTTCGTTAGGAATATACGATATGCTGGTATATTTTGCGGCTGGCAGCCAAACAGCCAGCCGCTTCTGCGGGCAGGGGATGAGAGATGGCAATGAGAGACAGGGGGCAGAAATGTCACAGAGAAGCTAGTGGCAGAGAGATGGCACTGACATGTTGTTTGCAGCCACAGTTGGCACTGGCAGGCTTTTTGGACGCACATATGGTGTATTGGCATGATATAAAAGGTTTATGCATGCGGTGCAGTAATAGCATTCCCTGGCTTGGAAGTCATTCAGAACTCTTTTTACTAAATGCTTGCCTGGTTGGGGAGATCTCCTTTATATATTAATGATATCCAAGTGTCAAGTGGGCAATTACTCCCCTACTCTCTAAACAATTTTCACATCTAAATGCTAAATTGCATAGCACTTTAATTCTTTCTATTCAATTATCTTATTTGTCTATTAACACACCTATATTGTTCGTGTACTTGTCTTTCACCCGATGCTAACGGGATGGTTGGTAAAATTGTACTAAGGGCCACAAAACAGTCCCCCTCCCCCCCCAAGTTGCCAGTCCTTCCCTGTACCACAATGACTACTTCAAAAAGCAGAAGTGGTCATGGTGGTTGGAGTAACTCTTTAAACTACAATCAATGTGTTTAGAAATCAGTCTGTGTAAATAAGATACATTGTTCTTGCTCTGAATTAGTTTTTGTATAAATTGTTATTAGTATTTTCTCATAACAGCCCCGCCAATGGCCACACCCCCGCTTACACCCCTAAAATGAAAGTGTCCCTCCTTGTCCATTTGAAATGTTGGGAGATATGGATGTATTTTTATTGGTAAGTTAAAGAGCAGCATATCTGGGAGATGTGATATAACCCATCCTGTCTGGAATTTGTAGGACATTATTCATTGTACAGCACTACGGAATCTGATGGCGCTATATAAATAATAAAATAATATTAATAATTATTCCATGGACTGGAAATATTAATCAGATATAACTTTGATTGTGAAATTTAGGCTGGAATCACAGAGCTCTGACTGTATATTTTCAAATTAATCATTTTGTCCTAGCATTAGTAATTCAGTTTTCAATTTGCTACAATTTGTTGTTTAATAAAAGACCCCAAGCTGGATTTCTGTTAGCCCCTTAACCCCTTAAGGGCCAAACTTCTGGAATAAAAGGGAATCATGACAAGTCACACATGCCATGTGTCCTTAAGGGGTTAAAGCCAAAATAAGATATTGAGAAAAAAGGATATGGTTTGTATTAATACAGGAAATGAGAGGTAAAACAGAAACCATTCTCAGTGAAAGTGAAAGCCACCAGACTTCATGTTTCGCAGAGATTACTATTACTTGGGATGTATTCATAAAACCAGGGGATTATGGGAAATCAGACCAGAACCTGCAACATTTAGGGGAAAAAACTATGAGCTGAGATGGCGATTTTTTCAGGTTTTGCTACTTTGACCTAAAATGTTCAATTCTTTTTTATGTCACCAATTTTGTGATTTTGTGGTCTGGTAAATAAAAGTTTGCTTTTATTTACCTTAAAAAAGTCAGATGCATATTAAGAATTAACCAATATAAAAATTCCTTTAAAAAAAAATCAGTTTTATAGCTATATGCACAATAATAACATGCTTGCATTTAATTATTTATGTTTTCATTTCGGGTAGATCTAAAATCACCTTGCGAAAGTTACAGATCTCTTGTGTGCAGCCTTTGCAAGCCCTCCTCTTCTAACCCCGCCCAGACTTTTTGTTGCTGTCCAATCACAGACGTCCCAATGCAGCTCAATGAGAAGTCTGTGCAAGGCAGGTGCTCTGGGCAATTGTTGCCTTTTAAGTTTATCTCCACCGAGCTAGCCAAGCTATGAAGTAACAGGACCTGCTGTCTGATTGACAGCCAGGGAGTGCAAACAAGGTTACTTGTTGTAAAATGAAAAATGGTGGTGGGGGGGGGCACACCGCAAGCTAGAGATGCTTTAGGGATCCAGAGTTTCCCTTTAACTACAATATTAAGTCAAGTGAAATCTGTAAAAAAAATACTGAACTATTTCCCAATACCTTTTTGCTCAGCCAATCGAAAGATAAGATATTTAGAATGGGTATTAATTAATGAGAAGCAACCTAATGAAAAGCTCTAACATGGAGCCAGTATCATACAATACAATGGTATTTATACCAGTATACAACTTTTATTTCAATCCCTTCTGCTTAAATGTCTCAGAGAGAATGTCAGGTCACCACAAATCATGGTTTAGTGAATAAGCCCCTCTGTCTCCATAAATTCTGCTTCTGTTCTAAGCTCAAATGCCCCCCACCCCCTTTTTCTTGTTTGCCTCCTGTTAGGATTATGGACTGGGGGGTTAGCCATTGTATTGAGAGTTTATACAAAGTGCGGCCTCCAGACTCCTCTCGGTCTTTTGTCTTGCCAGAGAAAGTCCTTCCAGCTTTTGAATACACTCTTTTCTGTGAGGACAGGAGGATTCTGGGAGTGTCCGATCCTACGTATTCACATGGGCATCATCAGCCGCTCCTAAGCCATATCCCTGGGGAATAAGTTTAAACGGTTGTTTAAGTGTTAAAGAGACACAACCCCTTGTGAAAACTAATAATATGAAAATTTAGGTATTTACAATTTGTGTTTTTAAGTCAAGTTTTAGATTTTATAAATCTAGTTATTATGTCAGTTTTAATGGCAAAGTATAGAATAAATAAATGCCCTTTCTTTTTAATACATTGTATTGTAGGTATTAAAAAATGTAAAATAATGAAAAATAATGTTTTCTGCTAGACTTGGACACTCGTCTTTGGCCGAACTGCAATTTGGGCCAATCGGGTACTCTGTCTAATTCCTGAACTCCGATCCCAATTGTACACGAATTATGAACCAACCAAAACATGCAACGCCCAGCTTGTTTGTGATTTTGGATTCTGCCCATTGCACACACACAAAAAAAAAGAGCTGATTCATAGAAAGAGAGATGCTTGATATTTAGGGTCAGTCACTAAACATGGATTGTTGTCTCAGATAAAGTCGCCAATAGAGAGGAAAAAGAAGGAGCCGTAAAACCATTATCTATATTTATATATTCTGTATTTATTAAATGTAAATGTGCTTTTTATTACTGCTGACTCCTGTCCTTATTATTTACTTTTTCTCACTTGTTCTGCGAGCCAATGGCTCCTATCAGTGCACTGCAAAATAGATACATAATATATTATTATGATTATTGTTAATATTATATATATATTTTGCAGTAAATTGATTTCCTCGACATTTCAGTTTGCTTGATTTGTTGTTGAATAAGGTTTTTAGAACCAAAATTCTACCGAGCCGAACTGACATATGGCCGAAATTTGGGCATTGGGAAAAATATTCTATATTCAAGAAAAAAGGTTTAACTGAGCTGAATTACTCCCCGTACACAAACCTGTCTTCAAATGCTAATGGCCCTTGCAGGACAAGTGTAAGTGACAGACAGATCCTTCCCTCACCAAGGAAAGGGTCCAGCAATCAAAATCCGCTCATTGAGGGCAATGTGTCATTTTATATCTTATAAACTCTATTCAGCATTCAGTTAATCTGATTCATAGTTTATATACCAGTTGCAGTTCCACTCATCAAATTAATCACACCGCCATTGCTATGAGTTTACACACAGATTGGGAACGAGCGAGAGCTCAGATTAAGTATGCCCCACTAACAATATGGCCAAAATTGGCATTAGGTAGCCAGGACCTGAGGGTGTCTGCTGCTGGACTGACAGCTCTTGAGGGCTGTCTCATACTTAAAGTGATTTTCATACGTTGTTTTTTTTTGTTCTATGCCACTCTCGTTTTTGAGCTTAAGTGTAGGGTACTCTCTGCACAGGCAATTTTACAGCTTTGCAAAGTTGTTATGGTGTTTAATGCGACCCTTTAATTGACACCGTGGGTTATTTATTAAGCTGGGAATTATGGAGAGCTGGCCGCGAAGTTGCACATTTTACACTAAAATAGCCACATTTAAAATGATTCCCTTACAGATTGGCCATTTTGGTTTAAAACTTGCAGTTGGCATGACACTTGTCCACCGTTCTCTGCTCTGTAAATAAACGCCATTGATCTGACATCCCTGCCTTGTAGCATATTTAACACGTTGAACTTGAACCTCAACGTTCTGTCCCTGAGTCGGGCACCAGTTGTTTAAACACATATAAAAATGCACAAAAATGCGACCAGCAAGAAATTATGGGACAGATGCATACTGGTAAATATACGGTGCATGGTTAATGTACCAAATCTAGGTAATAATATCAGTGGGTATATATTATTATATAAGTAAAGTATTAAACAGATTCATTGTTGAATATATTAATACATTGTATACATAATATTTATGATCACGATGCTGTGAAACGAAACGTACAATTGTGATAACATACATCGCATCCCAGTTAATGAATTAGGGGTTTATTTACTTAACAGTGACACGTAAATTATCTGATCAGTGCACTTAGGGGATTATTTAATAAATGGTGACTTGTGAATGACCCCATGTCCATACCACAGTGAGCACGAAATAATTTACTGTTTAGTGGATTCCATCATTTGTCTCGTCATCCACCTCAACCTGTGCAGCCCACGTTATATGAATATGGCGAGCAGGTAAATGGGAAAAAACAAGGATCTGCGTTTTGTGTTTGTAGCATACTGCTATTTCTTTTGCTTTACTTTAATTTATAGACCATTATTCCACATCTGTGTGATATCATCAGAAATTACCTCCTCATCATCTCTCTAACGCCTTAACAAATCACAAAGAATATTATCTGGGATATTCGTTACAGAGCGTTCAGCTTCATTGTCTCTGCCATCCAGTTTCTCAGTTTGATTGTAAGCTCAATGGCTGGTAGAACGTGAGATTCAGTTTTGTGTGAAAGAATTTTGCCGTTGTTTTTATATATAATTTTTTTATTTAAAGCTGAAATAATTACCTCAATAATAAAATACAACCAAAATAGAACATAAATTAAGTTACCAAACTATCAAACATGCTAATTTGCTGGTAATTAAACACACCCAGAACTGCACAGTTTCCCACTGAATGTAAGTAAATAATGTTCTATGTAAAACCACTTTTTCAAACTGCAGATTGCGTAGATACAGTTCTAGAACAAACTTGAAAAAAAGCGCCTCACCCTTTGTAACTCACCTGTCACAACACAATATGTTACTGAATGTCACAATGTGTGCTAACAAAACTTTCTGTCAGACCTTTAATTCCCTGGATAATTCTATGAGATTTTCGGAGCTATCTCTGTAGAGCGTTAGATCATCTCTTGGGGCAGATTGTGTCATCTTGGAGCAGATGCTTTTTCTTTGATCTCCGTCGCACGAATGGGTCGTACGAATTCAGCTCCATTTTAGAAAATTGTAGGTTTCTCTCAGCAAGTTAAAGTAATCTCTGTCTATCTCAGACTTGAATTCAACGTGAAGTGTAGGATGAGATGTGGAAGAAGTCAGGATGTCTGCTGTTATGGTTAAGAAGATGTCCTGGCGGTACCCATTGATGAAGGATCTTTATTTGTCTTTAGAGTGGGTCTTCTCTTTTCAAACATCTGATCGGGGGATGATAGGAGGTAAAAAGGGGGGGGGATGCTCTGGGCAGGGGACGCTCTGAAAAGATTACGATTCCCAATTCTGGTCACGTGTTCGTATAACGTAGGGGTCTTTGTTGTCTTATCCCAGTGGGGCGTCTTCTGTGGAGTGAGAGAATGGGAGAGAGAGACCAGCTTGCTAACCGTAAGGTGTAGACACTTTGTGTCTTCATCTAAAAGCACAAAAAAAATCCCTGGATATTTTCCTGGAAATTTCTGATTGTTCGGAGGCCGTAAAGAAAGACAGTCGGGGCTTCTGTTAGCAGAAGAGGGGTTCTAAACCCCCCACCGTTTTATCACGATTAAGAAAGAGGTATGTGTTTGAGAGATTGTGGCGAAGGCTTGATAAGGGGTGACTGATCAATATCTCCTGAGCTGAATGATAACAGAATAAATTATGAAATCTATCTCATCCGTTATGTTAACCTGGCCCACAAATGCTGCCGGATGCTTCATGGATTTATCATCCTGCAAAATAACATTTAATAGCCTAATTGCCTTTAAACTCAAATGACTTCACGGAATGCTAGGGAACAATTATCGGCACGGTATACAATTTAACAGTCTGTAACATTCAGCCAAGGAGGATTACAATAATTAATATCCTGGGACGCTGGAAAGAGGCAAAGCCGGATAAAATTATACAGCCTTTCGATAGCTGGCTAATCATTAAAGAGAATCAGATCAGAAATTCAGAATCCGTGAATACATAATGTTTAATGATCAATCTTTGTGTTTGGTGGGGAACCTTTAGGAAAGCATTATGAGATGGTAGAATTGGAGAGATAGCCGTCTGTGTGACTTATTTACCTGTCGGAAGTTCCAGTGGATTTGTTAATTTATTTACAGTGGAGCTATGCAGTTTTACAATAATTAATTATTTTCTTGAGCAAATTGTTCTTAGAAAAAGTGGCACTTCACTTGTTGTGAACCCCCAAAATCCGTTCTGCTTTAATAGCAAAATGTGTCTGATCTTGTTATAGATTAGAATAACTGTAGAAACAAGTGCAATGCTTTGTGGGGACTTACTAACTGTATGGGACAGCAAGTAACATGCAGGAGGCTATTCAATATGACAGATTAATCATGGTCGACTTCTTGTGAATACATCATCTTTTAAAGGGACCAATCTTCTGCCACTAAAGGTCAAAGGTTAATGTGCAGCCACTTTCATTGATATCACCAGGGCCCTTCTGGCTGCCAGTGGAAGCTGTGGCTTATTATTTTTATATTCTACTAGCCACTAGTATTCTTTGTATAATTATATTCACAAATGATTTTGTCAGATGTTATATTACAGGATATTTAATGGCGGTGTAGCACTAATTAACACAAACTTTCATGATATTGTTGTAGCTAATATTATTATGCCAACAGTATAAGTGCCAACATTTGCTGCAGCGCTGTACAATGGATGGACAATACACACAAGTAACTTCAAAAATGTGTTTTATCTACAGGCCAATATGGGTCAAGCAAGCTTGACAATTTAAAGGGATATTTGTTTCTGTAGGATGTAACATAGAATGCAGTGTACTCTCTGTACCCAGTGTATGCAGTGTACTCAGTGTATGCAGTGAACCCAGTATATGCAGTGTACTCAGTGTACGCAGTGAACCCAGTATATGCAGTGTACTTGGTGAATGCAGTGTACCCAGTGTATGCAGTGTACCCAGTGGCCTCAGTATATTTAATGTACTCAGGGTTTCATATGCCCAAACTTTGCACAGTTTTTTTTTCTCTGGTTTTGGATGCCGACAGGTCGTTTATTGATCTCCTGCTTACATTATTAGTGCTAATTAGTAATTAGTTGGCATTTATTTTTATTCATTTTATGTCTGTCTGTCTGTCTTTGTGTATGTCTGGTACCTGTCTCTGTTGCTGTACATCAGTCTAGCAATCAGTCTTTCTAACTGACTGGCTCTCTAGCGATGCCTGTGTATCTATCTTTCTAGCTATTAGTCTGTCTAGGTGTCTGTTTGCTGAACAATCTGTCTGTCCAGCTGTCTCTCTAATATTCTGTCTGGCTCTCATCCTATCTAGAAGTCTGTCTCCTTTGCTGTCTGTCCAGGTATCTGTCTGTTTAGATGCCTGTCTATCAGCAGTCTGTCTAGCTATTTGTCTGTCTATATGTCTCTCTGTCTAGCGGTCTGTCTTGCTGTCTGCCTATTTAGGTAGTCTCACTATCAGTCTGTTACCTAATTGTCTAGCTATCAGTCTGTCTAGCCACCTGTGTTTCTGTCTAGCTATCAGTTTTTCTAGCGTTCTGTCTGTCTGTCTGTCTATCTTTACTCATTGTCTATATTGTGCATTAAACAAACATTGCAAACAACATATGATAGTCCACCCATTGTATGGAATAATAGAAAAAAGGTAAAAAAGAGAATGTGTGGGGAACATTTACAAAAATAATTCCCAATGGCTAATTCAAGCTTTCTAAATACTTACAGAAGTTTGTATATAATGTATCACATCCTACTATAAAGTGGACCCAATGGCATCTATAGATGAGAGAACTGAAAGTAACACTGTAGTCACTATAACAATTTCATTTTATTAAAGTATGATAGTGCTTGGAGTCCCCTGTCGCTGTCCCTCCTTTCAGTTTTAAACCATTTTTGAGCAGTTTAAAGGAATTCTCCAGTGCCAGGAAAACACATTTGTTTTCCTGGCACTGCAGGATACTCTAGGGCCCCTCTACCTCCTACCCACCATGCCAAGTTGCTGAAGGGGTTAAAACCCCTTTAGTGACTTACCGGAGTCCAGCGCCGATGTCCCTCGGCGCTGGGTCAGGCTCCGCCTATGCTTCTCCGCCTACGCCTACGCTCTCCTTAGGGAGACCTAATGCGCATGCACGGCCGTTGGCGGGGGAGACCTAATGCGCATGCACGGCAATGGCCGTGCACGCGCATTAGACCTCCCCATAGTAAATAATTGAATAATGCTTTCAATGCTTTCCTATGGGGATTTAGGTGATGCTGGAAGTCCTCACATAGCATGAGGAGGTCCAGCGTCGTTTTAAACCACTTTTCGTGTTCTATGAACATGGAAGTCTCCTCTAGTGGCTGTCTCCTCTAGGACTTAACCCTGAAATGTAAACATTGCAGTTTATGAAAACTGCAATAATTACACATGCAGGGTTAAGGGTAGTGTGAGCTGGCACCCAGACCACTCCAATGGGCAAAAGTGGTCTGGGTGCCCGGAGTGCCCCTTTAAGACTAAATGAGGGTTCCTAGCTTTCCATAGCTCCACCCATTGGAGGTGTGACTAAGGCAGAGATTACACACTTGCTTTTAGGCATACCAATTCATACCTACAATGCGCTCTTTGATAGGCTGAATGCAGTCAGCTGACACTCTCAGCCAATCACCACCATCCATTGCTGCTCATTAGCCTAACCAGCATAGAGGAGATTGACTGCTGGCAACTCTTGTTTAGTCTACATTAGCCCAAGCAGTACAGAGGAGAAGGCCTGCTAGGAATTTTCATTTAGCATTAAAACATTAAAAATGGTTAATTGATGAATGGCGCCATGGGACTCAAAATGCTATAAGCATTTTAATGAAATCAAAGAGTTACAGTGCTTACTGTGTCCCTTTAAATGGGCAGTTGAAGCACCATAACCACTGCAGCAAATTGTAGGTTTTATGGAATAAAGCACTTCTGGGCACTGCTCCACCATTTTATATCAAAGAGACTTTTAGTGGCGAATACTGTCTGGGACTTCAACTTACCCTCTGCTAATATGCTAACAAATTACCATGTTACCAATGGTTGGCTGGGAGAGCTGGGCTAACCGTCCCCCATCCACACTGAGTGGCCATGCTGTAGGTCAGACCTCCACAACTTGGCAGTAGGGAGGGGCCAAAATTAAAAAAGGTGAACCTCTTTGGGCTGCAGATAGCTTTTTAGTGCCTCACTTTATAAGTTATAACACTGATATACAGATACACACTGACAGACACACACACTAACATATACACACTCATACTGACAGACACACACACACACACACACTGACAGATGCACAGATACACCTGATGGGCCTCCTAAGAGTGCGGGCCCGCGGTGCAGCGCAGCCTGAAATCCCGCTGGTCTTATCTGGTGCAGATCTTCTGTAGGTGATAGTGTGGTGTAGTAGTTATGGTGCGTAGAGTGTCACTTTAAAGAAAACATAAAATAAAGCAGGTTTTATATAACTTTCGCTCTTGCACCTCACGTCTATATTTATTTTTCTCGTCCCCCCTCTTCCTGTTCACAGGCAGAAGATGGGGTTTAGTGTTAAGGACGATTGTACTGGCAAGACTACAAAAAGATTGTGTCTTGGTGTATGTTCCCATCACTCGTTCCCAACAGATGGGAACTGGCGGGCTGCAGCAGGCTGAAAATGTTTGAATCTCCACCTTTTGCCACATTTTGCTAATGATAGCATGTTACATAAGACAAAGTGCTCCCTAATTTATCTTACGCTGTCTATTAATTGTGTTGGAATTTCAATAATGCATTCTACTTACATTTGTTACAAAAAAACTCAAATGTAAGAATATAGCTTTAACTTAAAAAAAAACAACCAAATATTTTTTATAAAGATACCAGTGTACTGGATAATATAAAGTTTCCCTAGTAACACGATAACATAGTTAAAGTAATAATGAACTCTCCCAGAATGCTCTGGGTAAGTCTCCATATTGTACATTACTTTTTATTAAGCAATGATCTAACTTCTAGTCTTTATTCGGCTGAGACGTTGGACCCAGTGATTAGTGTATAATGTAGGGGTTGTCTGAGAATAACATATTAACCCCTGCAAGGATTATTCCAAGCAGTGTGAACTCTGTAGTGATTTGAAGTGGTCACGGTGCCTGGCATCTCTATGTGCAGTGTTTTACGATGAAACATTGCATATACAGAGATTAACTCCTTTGCTGAGATGAAACTCCACCTTTAAAGGGACACTCCAGGCACCCAGACCACTTCTGCCCATTGGAGTGGTCTGGGTGCCTAGACAGCCACTAGAGGGCACTTCAGGGTTTATAGCACAGATTTTCTGTGAATAGCGTCGCTGGACGCTATGTGAGGACCTCCAGCGTCGCTGAAATCCCCATAGGAAAGCACGGGGAGGTCTAATGCGCATGTTTTAACCCCTTCAGCATCCTGGGATGGGGGGGGGAGGGAGCGAGAGGGGACCTGCAGTGCCAGGAAAACAGTTTGTTTTCCTGGCACTGGAGAGCCCCTTTAACAGCGCCTTTGGAGTGTCACCAGCCAGCCTGGACTGGTTAATGTAAATTATATGCAAATTTCATTGTGCAGAATGCCAGTCATTGGCTGAGATTGGTCAGCTGACAATCTCAGCGAGTAAATGGCCACTGCTGCGGCTTCCGTTTCCTGTAGCAGCCAGAAGTGCGTCACCAGACTGCCAGGGAGCCTCGGAAGCCATAGGGACATTGCTAAATGGTTTGTCCTATTACAAGTGGAACCGGGACAAGTTACTCCAAACACCATAACCACTATAGTGGGCTGTAGGACATTCCAGATATATCCTGTTATAAGTGTATTTGCATGTTAATCCTTATAGGGTTAAATTAAACACAAATGCTGTAATCATTCATTTTTCACTCAGGCCCTGCAAGGTGTCTGGAGGGGATAAAATGTGTGTATGTTTTATATCAAAATAGTGAGATTATTATTATAGCTCACCCTGCACCTGTTACATTATCTAATATTTATTATCGATCTGTCCCTTAGCAGACATAATTAGTGGAATTTTGAAACAAGTCTGCTGTTATGCTGTGTGTAGATATAAATGTACATATTTTTTTAATGAGTGGTATTTTAAATAAAATATTTAGCATTTTGGGATGTGGAGAATTGCTACAAATGATGCAAAGAATAGAGTTCATGATTAGATAGACACCTGGTAGATTACAAGCACACGTTCTATTATTGACATTAATGGCTGCCAATGAGACGAATAATTTTGAAGTAGTTATAGTCTCAGCATTACCATACCTTTCAACAACATGTTGACTGTAATCAGTACATGAAGAAGGCTCTATACCTTGCATTAAACACTCGGTTTGGCAATCACAATCCTTCCTGATGCAGAGGAAATTGAACCATCGAACTTCAACATCTAAAAAGACTACAGAAGTCACTGGCCACACTTTTATAATAATTAACCAATGCCTTGATATATATCAAGAAAAGTTATTTACTGAACTGAACATGATCTGGATTTTAAATATAGTACAAAAGAAGACAAAAAAAAAGGAAGCATAGATGTTTTCTCAACCTTGGATTTTTTGGCCTTAAATGGACACTCTGGACCCCTACAGTACTTAACCTTGCTTAAATGCTTTTACAAAGCGTGAAGATTTCAATAGAAATTGTCACTTTTATAAAATTACCTTCTAAACCCCCCCTCCCACTCTCCCTTCCCCCTGGCTATCAATCAGTCAGCCAGTCCTGTTACTTCCTGGTTTGATTAGCTCAGTTGAGCAATTACCCAGAGCACCTGCTTTGCAGAGACTTTTCATTGAGCTGCATTGGGAAGTCTGTGATTGGACAGCCACAGAAAGTCTGGACAGGGTTAAAAGGGAACGTTTTGCAAAGGCTGCAGACAAGATCTGTAGCTTTTGCGAACGTTTTTTTTTTTTTTATATAACCCAAAGTTAAAAAAAAAAAAAAGCAAAATTAAAAGCATGCAGGGAGTAGATCTACCAAATAGTGATTTTTATTTTTTTACTTGGCTAGTGGTGTGTTCCTTTAAATTTGAAAATCACTTTGAATTCATTTTGGATTGTCATTTTAGTGTGTTACATTCAGAGTTCGATCACTAAACTTTCCAAAAAAGGTGCAACAGCACATTGAACGCCATATTGAAAGCGTCATTCAAATGATAGTGTGCAAACAATAGTAATTCTGGGACATCAAAATCCAAGTTTTTATGTCTTGTGTTTAATATTGATTTGGTAAGTTCAAACATTAATCAGAGCGTCTAAAGGCGGTAAACGCAAAAGTACATTTAAATTATTAACCGTTATTGAAATATTATGTATTCCTCTTGCATTTAGATGGATCTCTATAAAATCACACGTTTGTGCAGTTTTTTTTCACCGCGTTTATTTTTATCCTGCGATCTACATTCGTTATGTGTCAATAAGTCAGGTGATACCTTGTTAGCGGTAGCTGAGAATGTTGGTCACACTCCATCTCGTTAGGCCCTTAACCCTGTACCTGCTGGAGTAAGCAAGATATGGGGGCTATTCACAAAGTTGTGGACTTTGGACAATTGACAGGAGAATAGCAAAATGTTTGGCCAAATATAGCTAAATGTAAAAAAATAGCCAAGTTTGAGAATTGTCCAATTTAGTTAATTTGGCTTAGAATTTGCCATCTCCTACAATTTCTGGATTCGTGAATAAGCCAGTATGTTTCTGGTGCCTTACAATACATCTGATGAGGTTGACATATTAGATGAGTAATGTTATCCCATGGATGTTGGGCTCCCTGCGGGCACAGATGTTTATTTATAGAGTGGACTATATGACTGTATTGGAATAACATGAATTCCAGTTGTGTAGAAAGACTGGTATGGCGTCCTGCTGTACGCTGCGCTTCGGGAATCAGTATGACAGACTGGGCTGTAATGTGACACATTAGGGATTGAACAACCCCCCCTTCTCCCGCATTCTCTCTCTGCACACAGATTAGCTCCAGCAAGACCGGCTCATGATTGCATTAGCAGTGAAAGGGTTAAACATTGATAGTTAGCCTTTGTCATTCCTACTGTTGAGGACAGCATTTCCCGAGAAGCTCAGCCATCCATTTCAGCGAGTAGATTTGTTTGTCTGACCAGTGTGGTGGTCAATAGCAATGTGGTTCCTCCATAGTGAATACCGTAGGGCCCAATCTCTTAGGAAAGGCCTAGGTTTAAAAGCCATAGCTGGCAGTCAATCTAACCCTGTACAATGCATTAATAATATTTCAGGGCTTTTCACCTTAGAGGAAACATCGCATTCACCAAGTTGCATACTCCTGTCTCTCTGAGAGGGTTAATGCTCATGCAAAGTCATTTCTTCTTATTTTCTGCTGAGGGTTTCATTCCTGTCCTTACACTGCCTTCCCCTTTCTCTCAGTCTCAGATCAAAGCCACGAGGCTCCCAGCGACAAGATGGAAGAGCAGACCCTGACGCCAGCCGAAGAGATGACGAAGGTGGAGACGTGCGAAGATCCAGGCCGGGAGCCTTTCGGTTACGTGGGCATCGATTCGGTGCTGGATCAGATGAGACGCAAAGCAATGAAACACGGCTTTGAGTTTAACATCATGGTGGTAGGTGTGTGTCGCTGCCCTGGAGTTAACAATAGCAATGGGAGCTTAACAAAGGCTCAGGTGCAGCGTGACAGATGGTCTCACAGCGGCTTTTAACCCCTTAAGAACCATTGATATAGCATGCCGTCATCACAATCTGCTCCCTAAAGACTCTGTGCCAGAACAGAGCGTCCTGTTTGTATTCCTATTGGCAGCTCTAAACAGGGCAGCTGTCACTGAACGAGTGGGTCTTGGCGTCTTCATACTGAATCTGATTACCATGATGTAATTATCCTCTCATTGGCTATTAAGGGGTTAAAAGAGTGCCTGATATGAGCAATATATTGATTTATTGACTGGCTTACTTATTCATTTTAATGGAAATAGACCCATGAGATGTATTCATTAGACAGTGAATTCTGGTAAAAGAAGAAAAGTGAAACTTGCAAGATTAAGATCAAAATAGCTGAACTGACATTCTATCTATATATGTTTCTAACTTGGCATTTGTTAATCCAATTATTTTTTTTAAGTGTTTATAGCTCCTTTAACTGTTTAGGGAATAAAGCCCCACCTCCCCCATTTTTGTCCTCAAAATATACAGTAAATGACAACATCCAATCCATGCACCCGTTTTGGCTTTATTTATTTTTATAAGTTTATAATGTGTGGACACATGGCCTCCATTATATTAATTAAAGCAATTAATCTTAATAATGAAGCCAGTGGGTTATACCCAATACCTGATCAACTCCCAATTAAACACGCTCTAACACTCTGCTTATAGGGTTGTTTCAGATATTTACAAATTTGCACAACAAGCCTTGCTTACATACCTTCCAAGTGTCCCTATTTAGGAGGGACAGTCCCTATTTTGGGTCCAAATCTCCCTGTCTGTTTTTTCTGTCCTAGTGTCCCTCTTTTCTAGGAGCTTCATATTGTTGGTGTGTCTGAGTGTATAACAGAGCTCCCCAGCAATAATACTCCCAGTAATGTGTCTGAGTGTATAACAGAGCTCCACAGCAATAATACTCCCAGTAATGTGTCTGAGTGTATAACAGAGCTCCACAGTAATAATACTTCCAGTAATGTGTCTGAGTGTATAACAGAGCTCCACCGCAATAATACTCCCAGAAATGTGTCTGTGTGTAACAGAGCTCCACAGCAATAATACTCCCAGTAATGTGTATAACAGAGCTCCACAGCAGTAATACTCCCAGTAATGTGCCTGAGTGTATAACAGAGCTCCACAGCAATAGTACTCCCAGTAATGTGTCTGTGTGTAACAGAGCTCCACAGCAATAATACTGCCAGTAATGTGTCTGAATGTATAACAGAGCTCCACAGCAATAATACTCCCAGTAATGTGTCTGAGGGTATAACAGAGCTCCACAGCAATAACACTCCCAGTAATGTGTCTGAATGTATAACAGAGCTCCACAGCTATAATACTCCTAGTAATGTGTCTTTAAACTGCAATAAATGTTTTTAAGTCAGTATAAGTATTAAGAAAATTCTAAAAAAAATGATGTCTTCTTTAATATGATCTACAATGCTGTGACATAGTTTTAAATAATAAATAAATCAAAGAAAGGTTTGGTGGGAATCCCAGTGGCCCGCTGTGGTACTGACAAGGGCGCACAGTCAGGACTGTCCTGATAAATCTGTCACTTGGGAGGTATGCATCTTTTTTTCCAGCTTGGCTATTTTAACTTAAATTCTGCAATTCTTTCTCTAACTCTGAGCAATTCCCAGTTTAGTAAATAAGAACTAATAGAAAGGGAACTGCTACAATGGCTCTATTCTTGTCTCAGCCTGTAAAACAAACTGCTATTTCTGTACTTCACCAATATTTGTGTTAATTAAATAGCTCTTGGTACTTAAAGGGACACTATAGTCTCCAAAACAACATTAGCTTAATGAAGCGGTTTATGGATCATTCCCCCTACAGTTTCACGGCTAAATTCTCTGCCATTTAGGAGTTAAATCACTTTTGTTTCTGTTTATGCAGCCCTAGCCACACCAACCCTGGCTGTAACTCACACAGTCTGAATAAAAACACAATGGTTTCATTTTCAGTCAGATGTTAACTTCCTTTAAAAGTGTTTTATCTCCTGCTCTGTAAGTTGAACTGTAATTACACACAGGTGACTTCTGCAGGGTCTAGCAAGCTATTAACAGAGCAGGAGATAAGAAATTCTATATTAAACAGAATTTGCAATAAAGGTAGTGTAAACATTACATGACTCTTTACAGGAAGTGTTTAGGAAGGCTGTGTAAGTCACGTGCAGGGAGGTGTGACTGGGGTGCATAACCCCAAATGGCAGATAATTGAGCGGTGAGAATGCAGGGGCATGTTCCATACACCAAAACTACTTCATTAAGCTAAAGTTGTTTTGGCCAATAGTGTCAATTTAAATCCTCTTCATTCCAGGAGAACGCATATTTTGAAATCTGAGACGGGGAATTATTTTCTATAATAATGTTACAGCTTTTAGAATGTGCAAGATGATGGGGTGGGATGTGCCAAAGTCTTGATTGAGAATGTCCCCAAACTGTAGTTTATTTTGCCTGTTTGTGTTAATTGACAGTGTGTAAAGATTAGTAATGTCAACATGGACAAGGTCTCAATAAAATATTAATTAAGATAGTGCTTCTAACACCTTTCCTTTGACAAACACCAACGGACTGGTTTTTTAATTTCTACATGGAACCAGACTGGTGTAAAAAAATATCTTATCTTGTGTACATAGACAATCACAGGAATAATGTAAAGAGTATGAAAACTTTTTTTTTTTTTTTTTTTACATTTTTTTTATTATCTGTAGGTCAGAGCGGTTTGGGGAAGTCAACCTTGGTCAATACGCTCTTCAAGTCAAAAGTGATCCGTAAAGCGCCTGGGTCGGGGATTCCCAAAACATTGGAACTCAATGCGGTCAGCCAAGGTGAGCTAGTCCTTCATTCTGGTCAATTAGTCACGTCCATCGCTGTATGACATGGGTGGGATGGCGTAACAATGATATATTATTCTTTCACTCTTTCAACAGTAATCGAAGAACGAGGCATGGAGATGAGGCTCACAGTGATTGACACACCAGGGTTTGGAGATCAGATCAACAACCAGAATTGGTAAAAACACAAAATACCGGCATTTCATCAGAACCTATTATTTCTCACACCCAGCATGGATGGCCCCCACCACCAAAATAAAACACACCACATCATCAATAACTAGAAAGGCCACTGCTTCACATGTATTCAATAAATATATTTAACAACCAGACATGTAATAAACATTGGTGTAAACTCATTTGTAAAAATGTAAGTTAAACAACTTTAACAGTTCGAAAAACACAACTATAAGTACATTCTACAGCCTGATCCAACTTATTCGATGATATTTCCAAACCCATTGTAAATCCTTAAAAGATAAATAGATAGCTCCCAACAGCTATTCACTAAGATTCCCATACACTAAGATTTGTGGTTACTGCTACACAAAAAAAACCCAGTTAATTTAATTCCGTTTGTTCTATCTTTGGTAGTTTCAACGTTGCTTTCCAAATACTGCTTAAGAAGGCTTTAATTAGAAAGTTGTCAATAAGTTATATTTCAAAGGAATTTTAATGTTACTGCTAAGAGACAAAGAGGCTCAGGGAATGTGTCTATCAGTACTGTCTGTAGCTTTAAGAAGTGACCTGCGAGAGAATATTATGTTTTTAACGTTAGAAACAGCCAGGCATTGTGTTTCGACCACATGAGTTATGGGCAGAGTAGATGAATAGGGACCATTGAATGCAGAACTCAGAATCCTTGTCTCCCTGATTGTCCTAGCTGGGAACCAATCATCAAATACATTCATGAGCAATACGAGAAGTATCTGAGAGAGGAGATCCTGGTCAACCGCAAGCGTCGTATCCCGGACTCTCGTATTCATAGCTGCATCTACTTCATCCCACCAACAGGGCACTGGTGAGTAATAGTCACATTCGGGAAACCCAGTGGCAATAATCTTGATGACGATAATATCATAGCAATGGCTCCGCTAATGCCCCAACACATGGCATCTGGCCAAACATGTTCCATGCCAAATGCTTGCTACACCAGAGACCTTTTCTATGGTAACAATGTAACATAACGGCCCAAGGCTACTGTTGGTGGAAAGTCCATTCAACATTATTCGACAGTTCCTTAAAGGCTTTTGATACATGAAAGACATAGAGATATTAACTTTTGTTCCTCTACACCCAGGCTACGACCTCTGGACCTTGAGTTCATGAAACGGTTGGGCCGGATTGTAAACGTTGTTCCTGTGATCGCAAAGGCTGACACTCTTACCCTGGAAGAGCGAGAAGAATTTAAACAGAGAGTAAGTAGTCAGAGAATGAGAATCTAACAGTTTACAGAAAAACAATGACCTATGATTAAGTGCTTACTGTATGTGAAGTTAGGAAAATGTCTGCTTCTATGTTAATGTCCCATACCCTCTCTGAATGTCTGCAAGATATCAGGGTATAGTAAACGTTTTATATGTACTTTTATCACCTGAATTAATATAACAAGTTAACAAATCCATGAAAAAATACATTGACATTTCAATATTTCATAATTTACATAATTAATATGATCGTGTGTTATTTCCAAACAGCAATCTATGCAAAAAGTTGCAATAATATCTTATATTATCATCCTATCTGTGCAGCCCATATTTCAAGTAACTGTTATACTATTCCATTTTCTATTTTATAATGAGAAGTGTCTCTTGCTGTTTCTCTGATTAGATAAGGAAGGATCTGCAAGCTCATGGGATCAGTGTGTATCCACAGCTAGAACTGGACGAAGATCCGGGAGAGGCCTTACTCAACGACAAAATCCGGGTGAGTGTCTCCCAGCGGTTATATATCCCTGCTGTATGTTATTGGTTATAGTCTATAAAGATATCTCTTATATGGATGATCAATGAAAAAAATTTAAAATCGCCATTTTTTATTAAGAATAGGCATTTCCTGTATAGGTATTACGTTGATGTATCGGCCTATGTTTTTCAACTAAATTTTCATCCAAGTTTGACACAATAGGGATTGTTCAGGAGTGGCTTTGGGGGCTGGAGTTCCAGATGTGGGTCTCTTTAGCCCTGGATCCCTTCAGGTGGCAGAATACAAGGGATATTAAGGAAACTGGTTAGGGGAGATTGGGAGAAGCACAAAGTGAACGGGAATATGGAAGGATAGAGAGAGACACAGCGTCTCTGGGGAAGGCACTTAAAGTTACTTAAATGGGGGTAAGGCAAGACAAAATACTGAGAGTTTGGGGAACAGGATTGTGGAGGTTAAAGGATGATGTTGAGCCTTGGGTACATCTGAGAGAAGTACAGGATGGTATTGAGACATGGGTACATCTTTCCGTTTGGGCTAAAGCCCCAGGTGTGTTTGGAACTTAGCAACTACCCAGTTTGGAATGAATGTAACGCTAATTTAATATTGGAATGGACAGAGTGCCAGTGTGTTAATATAGGATGTGCTATAACCCAAGACAGTGCTGGCAAGATGCTATGATAAATTAACATTAAGCTGCTACAAATTTTACATTTAATTTGGTGCATTTTTTAGCATTTGACATGCCAGAATTACAGGAATAATAGATACGGCTAACCGGATACGACACTTCTATCACACTACAATAAGGGAGTTTTTGGAACAGAAACGGGGGTCGTGAAGAGGGTGGAATCAGAAAATTGTCTTTTGTTTAATGATATCATAACTGTTTAGCCCCTTAAATGGCCTATCTTTTATTGCATGATTAGGAGACATTTTGTTAGTAAATAATCTTATATGAATATAAAATGGCTCATTCTTTATGTCCTGACCATTTTATTAACATTTTTCAGGAAAAGATTCCGTTTGCCGTGGTGGGAACAGACGAAGAACATCAGATTAATGGGAGGAAGATCTTAGGTCGTAAAACCAAGTGGGGGATCATAGAAGGTGAGGTTACCAGGATTGCGTTTTTACCTTGGGGATTATTCACTGAATATTACTTATTGGAGCTTTTGTAACCAACTTGCAAAGCAGAGGCCAAAATAACCAAGTTGGCAAAACAATCTACTGCTATCGAGTGAAGATTCCTGTCCCCAAATTAAGATTATGGGCTTCCTTTGTCAATAAACTAGCTTTCAGTAAATTATTTAGTATATAAGCTGCGTTATCTGTGTTTGGCATTCTCTCACGCCTCTACATCCAACCCTCCATCCATTCCAGAGTTAATCTGCACGTTAGCTATTATCTGCAGAATTTTCCTGCACACATTATTTAGGAATTTGGATTTTTACCATAAGTAAAAGGCTTTTCGCGTGCGCTGCACACATTGCGTTTCTGTTTTTTATCATGACACCTGTGGATTAATGTTTAGGAGGATCTTCTGCCATTCCATCGTCCAAACCGCCTCACACACCTTTTTCCCATTTGCTAGCCGGTCCCTGGTCTCGCTGTCTCGTTCTTGACTATATTAAGGAGGGGAAGCACGCTGCATCTGTTCTCCATCACCGAGAGCTCTCAGTAGGCAGGTCAGGGCTGGAGCAGGCACTAATGGACGCATCCCAGCTGTGTTCTGACTTGGCTGCTGTGTGCTGGAAAGAGATATCACCTTGTACTGACCGAGACAGGATCCCAGTTATTAGAATTATCCCTCCCTTCCCAATCCAAGTCCAATCCACCTTAAAGGAACACTCCACACTGCAATTTATCCATCAGCCTTTTATTGCATTAAATATACAAATATAGACTGTGATTATAAGTAGGGCTTCCGTTTATTATTTTTCCATATGCTTTTTAAATGAATTAAGGTTTTTGGATAAACCTAAAATGATTTAATGTTTTGAAGAATGTATTAATCTTTTGATATGTTTTGTATACTAATTTTTTCATATGCATGATATTTATTTTTGTTGATATTTTAATAACTTTAAAAAAATGATTTTGAAAGTTTTTTTTTCTCCAAAAATATAAAATATTTTTAAAAGCTTATGGAAAAATAGAAACCCCCCGCCCCCCGCAAAATAACACTATAGTGTATAGAGTACAAAACTTTATTCCTAACACTACAGTGTCCCTCTGGCCCATGGCCCTCCCAAAGTTTAAAAAAAACCAAAAAACATTTACCTGAATCCAGCATTGAGGTCATGGTGAGTGTTGCGCACATTAGGCCCCTATAGAAAAGAACTGAATCAATGCTTTCCTACTGAGAATTTCAAGACGCTGGTTGTCATCACGCACATAAATCGACAATTTCTAAACGCTCTTTGAGAATTATTTGTTGATTTTTAAAAAATTTTTTTTTTTTTTTTTACATTTTAATTACTGTTTACATTTAATTTTGGCTGCTCCTTGTATTTTAGAGATCCTTTTATATTTAAATGGTGCAGCACCTGTTGCTATGACATGGTTATAGATAGCTGTATGACAATATTGTCTCGTTTTCTTTTTTTTTTTCTTGTCTCTCAGTTGAGAATACAACACACTGTGAATTTGCGGACCTGAGAGATTTGCTGATCCGGTGAGTTCTTGCTATGAGTGGTGATCAAGAGATTGTTATAGAGTGACCTTCCTTCACTCGGATTCCTGCAATGCCCTGAGCAGTGCTGTAACAAATAATAGCAATAGAGGGCACCTGTGAGCCACATCTAAAACTTGTCTAGGTTTTCCATTTAGGCTTTTGAAATATTTTCTGACTACATTACCCAGAATTCTGTGTCGGTCATTAGCTGACAGGTAATTCTGGTAATTGGAGCTTGACAGGTGTCCAGGTTTTACAGGTTATACCCCTCCATTCTAGCTATTCCTTCTCCTGACAGGCAGAATATCAGCCCAACAGAAATATCTGGAGAAGCTCTGAGCACTACAATAGCTCATTCTATTATTACATCTCTTTGTAGTGATTATAGTATTTAGAGTGGGCTGTAGTGGTTATGGTACTTAGAGTGCCTTTTAATATTTCGCAAGGAGTCATATAACTGTATTTTGTCGTGTATTTTAATTTTACTTGAATCTTGTAAATGGGCCTGCCAGTAAATGTAGTCATTTTGATAAAATGCTGTTGTTCCAGCCATAGACCGTAAATAACACAGGTCCAATGTGCAGTGCCAGTCATTATCAGATGGGCACTTTGTCACTCTGCCATGGTTTGCTTCTCTAATGAAAGCAGTAAGGCCCAGGTACGGGGTACAATATGCTCATGTTTAATAAAGTGTAAGATTAGTAAGAAAGGTGAATCTGTCGTAAACATTTTATCTCTTCGTAGATCCAACCTGCAGGATCTGAAAGATATAACCCACAATATACACTATGAGACCTACAGGGTCAGCCGACTGAACGAGAAGATTCAATGTAGTCCATCCTACGTGAAAGACCCATCTATCTTGTGAGCCCTCTCCGAAAACCTCAAGAACATCAATGTGCCTCCTCATGGACAATGCCACTCTAGCAACCATGCCAACTCCTTACCAGTGTTGTTCACAGATAAAGCAACACCTTACCACTCTATCAGCCATGCCTGCTATGTGCCAGGGGGTACCACAGATAAAACATCACAGGGCATTTTTTTAGATCAAACCAACTCTGTGATAGTGACTTTCAAAGCAAAGACCAACACTATGCCAGGCTTTGTGACAATACTATGCCATCTCGGCCGTTCACAAATTCCACCCAAAGAAAAGTCCATCATTGACCTTTCCACCCCCACCGACCACTGTACCCATTGCCAGTCTCTGCTCACAAAACTCACACCACTGGTAACCTACGTAATTGAGAATGTAACTTACTATAAATGTATGTGCCACACAATCATGCAATTTACTAGTCCGTGTATTTCATAGACTAATCATGGCACCACCACTTACCCATTCTGCCAAAGAGGCTCACCACATTCCTCCCAATCTGCCACACTCAATCTGTCTTAAAATCCTGCCAACTTGTATAAATGGCCACCTGTTCCTCTGTTCTAGTACCCCATCATTACCCATCACTACACATGCCATCAACAGCGTTCCCACACTCCAAAGCTCGGCCAATGTGTTTAAATGACACCACTATTCTAATAAGTCAGTTTTGCATCTTTGATGCACTGTAGTTCTAGAAATTACACAGCCTAGGCTGGTTGCCAAGCTATGGTTCAGGCTTGCCATCGCAAATATCAATTAGTAGGCCAAAATATAAATCAGCTATGAACCCATAAGTCATCCAACTATCATCAAACATGTAGTCCGTCCATGGAATTGATAAACAGATCTTCAGCAAATCAACAAATGATGGTATGACTGCCGTGTTCAACAGGGGCAAGTTCTTCTAATATTGTACTCCAATTTATAGTTTACATTTTTACAAGGCACCACGAATGTACTCAAACCCTTGCTGAGGAAGAAGACGGGACAGTCCAAAAATCTATTAGGTAGTCCTTTATTTCTCCAGGAGTGGCCTTGAGACTAAGGCATCCATCGATATATGATTCTTCTGAAAAAGAAAACAAGAGACAATTTGATGATGGAACAAAAAAAAGAGAGAAATGCATTTATATATAATTAAGTCACAGATTTTTTTCAGATATTTTTAACGATGTATTTACTAAGTGGGACACTTTCACTTCTTCTATGTTTTTATGTATAGCGGTATCAGATCCATATTTTATCTGCTTACAAAGATTTGTGTTATTTTGTACGATTGTAACTTTCATTCCAGAGTCTGGGATCTCCATAAATAAATACATTTCAGACCTGACGGGACCGTTTATTGATGAAAGATGATTTATAAATCATTTGGGTCTATTCACGAGCTGTTGGGTTCGGCTGCCTTGGGAAACCAACTGGTAAAAAGCCAAAGTGACAAAGTTACAAATATCAAAAACACTCATTTGGGGATTAAAAAAAACAAATCTATCCTAAATATTGCAAGTAGTGTTTCAGAGGAACAGCGCACAGTACCCAATTTTGTTCAATTTAAAAAAAAACGCTTTATGGTTATCTGACAGTCTACATTTTCTGGGGGGTGGGGGTTTTGTTTTGTTTTTTGGTTTTCATGTGGCCAACGCGTTTTTGTTTTAGGGATGTTTGTGACGAAATCTCACATGGCAGTAATGTAATCATTAACGTTTACACAAGCTGGGCTTCCTCACTATATAGTGCATTACAGTGAATTAAAAACTAGGCTGTGATTATTAGAACTGAATTGTAGAATTTGCCCAAATCCGTGCTTTTTTTTTTTCTCCCAAAATTATGCAAATCAGGGTTTTAATTGTCTTCTTTTCACTGTTTAGGGAATAAACCCAATGGCCTATATTTCATTCAACAAAAACAGAAAATATGAGAACTTTGAGGACAAAAGCTTAGAGGAACTCAGTAGATCGCCTTTCAGTAAATTCCTGTTTAGGTCTCAAAATAGTTTTTGCTCACTTACGCCATTGCAGAGACAAGCAGTTCCATGGCATATCAGATTAATTCCACCCGTAAGGGCAGTCCAGAACTGAAATGCCAGCAAGTTCTCTATATTCATTTAGCGTTAGACTATTTTCGAGCACTTTAACACTGAATGAGGGTCCCTCACTTCCCGGCCCCTACTGGAAGTGTGGCTGAAGCCAGTGGCGGCCGGAGGTGTTTTATGATGGAGTGGTGCCAGAGTCTACCCCCCCCTCCCGTACAATCCATAGATACTCATGCAATACAGAGAGTTGAACATATTACAGGGATGCTCATACAATAACACAAGCTGTGTACAACATAAATATATCTATAAGATACACAGAGCCGAGCACAATACAGTTAAAGGTTGCTATAACCATAGCACAAACAGTAAAAATATACCTATACAATGCACAGAGCTGGGTAGACTACATCGATACCCATAACACAAACAAAGCTGAGAAAAAAAATATATATATAATACCATCCCCTCCAGAAAAAGAATCTTAGTGTCTAAACTACTGCAAATAATTTTTTTTCCCACATAAAAGCTGATGGGGCACCACACGTCCTTATAGCCATACCAATTCATACTAGCAATGGGCGCTGTGATAGGCTGAATGTGGGCAGCCGAACCTTTCCTCCAATCGTAGCCACCCATTGCTGCACAGACCAATACTTCCTCATTAGCTCAAGCAGCACAGGGGGATGGACTGCTGGGGACTCTCATTTAGCCTTAAAACATTAAATATGGTTAAACCCTGAATGAAAAACAGTGACAGGGGGCTCCAGACAGTTTAGCCACTTCAATGTGATTGAGCAGCTACAGTTTCCCTTTAAGTCAGATGGAGTTTAATTGACTGAATGTTTCAAACATACAACAAAAAGGGCATCTTGTTACAGAGATCTATACAATTGTGATTAGCGCAGACTTATCACCTGTATAATAAACAATGCAAATGAACATAAAAACATAACAAAAAAGATTATAAATAAACATAAAGCAATAAAACACAAAGAAACGTAACGAAACATAAAGTAATATAAAGCAATAGAACAGAAAGAACTTCGTAAAACAAACATACACGTCACATCATACCCGTCATTCCTCTGGACATGTTACATTTTTTGAAGATAAATCAACACATTAAAAGTAACATGTCACTCCCAGGATTTTGTATATTTACTATCACTCTGTGAAAAATAAAATAAAATGTTGAAGTCCACACCCCTGTAATTACCTCACTCCTGGACCTGTTCTTTTTTTGAGCCCTAACTATAATTTTTGAAAATGCGCCATTTCTTTGTTGGTTCGATGGGTATATGAATATTTCGACCACTTTTTCCAAAAGAAATGTAATGATATTTAGATATTATTTAAGCAGTCTGGTAGCTGGTATATGTGATCTGGTTAGTCTAATATGCTGACATCCTGTAGATTGAGGACCTACGAATTAATGATTCATGGAGACCCGGCCATTTTTATCCCATTCTATTCAAGTTGTTCCTGGTCAGAGTAATGATTGCAACAAACAATGGAGGAAGCCTTGAGTGTTGTTGCTCTCTATGGAGTTCAGGTCCATCAGGTGGCCAGGAGAACCCATGATCTTAGATATAATCTTGGTGCAAGTGTTGAGGCCACCACAATGGCCCCACCTTCGGAAAAAGGTGCTGTAGAGCACTGGTTTCCAATTCACTGTTGAAGACACACCAACAGTCTCATTTCTTGGTTCCAGAGAAATTTTGACTAGACCTGGATTATTTATGTACCTTAAAATTGTTAACTGCAGCCATACAGCATCATGTACTCTAACCTCGGCACACAGTATATTTAGGAACTACACTTCCCATTATGCTCAACTACCCTTTCTGTTGATTGAGCATTGTAGCATGTTGTTTATAAAGATCCAGATTGCAAGATTAGCCATAGACCTTACATTCACCTTTAGACTAAACAATACTGACTTTCCAATCAAGAGCCATCAAGGTAGGAGCCAAGGGAAGCTGAGGAGCATCTCTCCAACTACAAAAGAGCTATAATGTCCATGATGCTTTGTCTGCTAGATACCCTCATAAACCTGCTTATTAGTAATAGTGATACATTGTAGGAAATGTGAATTCATAATCTTTTCATAGTATTCCTGTACAGTACCGGGAACATGTTATGAATTACTATTTTTATCATCTGAATATTGTATTAATTAATTTTCAAAAGTACAACAAAATACAGTTAGAACAGCACACACACCAAAAATATATACGGTTTTAAATTTTATGAAGCTACTGAAAATTGCCTATTTTAGCAAACAAATATGGGGATTCAGTTCCACCATATGGACATATCGTGTCAAGTCCACCACTACGACACAGTAACCCAATATCTGGGGGTCCGACACTAACTTTAACATGGGAGATATACATGCTAACTTGCAATACTTACAGCTTAAACTGCTTTCACAGACTCCTCAATCTATGCTTCCCTGTGGTCAATTCCACAGTAGATGGGTGGGGTGCTCAGCCCAATAGGAATCTGGTATCAATTCTATCTACACAGAAAAAATGGGAATTGGGGGCACATCCAGAACATGCATTTCTAGGTATTAGTGCTGCCATTCAGAATTTAGGCCAAAATAGCTGATTTGGATAATTTTGTAAACGTTCAGTATAGTAGACAATCATGTGATAATAAGTTAATTTGAATAAAGTGCTCTTTCTATGTCTCATCAGAAACCAATTGAAAAGTCAAATATACAGAATAGCAAAAAAGAATAGCAAAAAAATAACTATATTTATTTCTATTTAACTATATAACAGTTCTCAGTATACTCTTGCAACCCATTTTTTTGCTCTCCACAAGTTTAAAGGGATAATCCAGACGTGGACCCCTTGCTCACGGTGCCTAGGGAGATATCAGCTATGCCTCACGGATGATGCCTAACAAGGCTGAAACGATCGTCTGGGGTTGCTGTGTCTCTCGTGCAGAGAGAACTTGCTGGCATTTCGGATCTGGTCTGCCCGTATGGGTGGGACCAGTCTGATATGTTTCAGCGATGTTCTCTATGTAATGGCACAAGATGAGCAAAAACCAGCTTGAGATCTGAGCGGGGACCCACCGAAGGGCAGGCTATTTCAGTTGCTGCCTGTTCTCAGTATACTCTTGCAACCCATTTTTGTGCTCTCCACAACTATATAACACAAGATGAAAAAAAAACCCCACTGATCTAAAACGTTACGTTATATATTCAGATGAATGTTGAAAAGCAGGTGCAGTTAACCTTTTTAGCCACTAGATGTCACTATCTTTCATAGAATCCATTGTAAAATTCTCCAATGGCTCTTTGAGTAAAATTTAATCAAGCAATTTCCTCATTTGATGAATAAACGTATAGTGCAGGCATAGGTAAACTTCGGCACTGCAGATGTTTTGGACTACACCTCCCATGATGCTTTGCCAGCATTATAGGTGTGAGAGCATTATGAAGGATGTAGTCCACAACATCTGGAGTGCTGAAGGTTGCCTATCCCTGGTATAGTGTATAGATAAGATTGGGCTTTGGCCAAGAAAGAGGAGCTTTGGGTATTATATACATGAATGGGTTTGTAGGAATATCCCTGTATTGTTACGTTTCTTTGTAGCTATATTAACATTGTTACTAAGTTAATGTGTTACTCTGTTACTGTGTTACTGTGACTGTGACATTACCATGTTATTAAGTAACCGGATTGGGCAGCAAGCAGTATAGGGAGCTGCCTACAGGTATCTGATTCAAAGCTTGCAGTTTTCCTATTAATTAGAAAGAGATGCTTATTCATTAACCGGAGAATTCAAAGTGAATGTCAGATTTGAATCCCGAGTAGTCGAACTGAAAGCGTAGCCGATTTACAGAACGTTTACAGTTTAACTATTTTGACATTACATTTGAAATTCACATTTAATTCACTGTGAAATCTCTCTTTAGTAAATATCTCTGTGTGTCAGGCTCAGCATTTTTTTAAAGTTCCTTTCCATGTAAGTGGAATTTATTTTGACATATAAAAATTACATAAATGAAATCGGAAATTGTTACAATGAGTTCCTTTGCTTATACTGTTGAGGTAGGCCTCACAGAGCACACGCTGGGAGATCAGTGGTTTCCTGTCCACCAAACCGGTTTGCTTAAAGGGACACTATAGGCACTATAACAATTTCATCTAATTGACGTGGTTATAGTGCCTGGAGTCCCCTGGCGCTGTCTCTCCATTCAGCAATAAATAATTTTCAAGCAGTTTAACACTGAATGAGGGTCCCTGGCTTCCCATAGCCCGGCCCCACTGGAGGTGTGACTAAGCCAAAGATTATACACTTCCTTCTCGCCACTAATTCTTCCTGAATGGCACTGTGATAGGCTGAAATTGGTCAGCTGACACTCTCAGCCAATCAC